AATGCCAAATCCAGTCTGAACATCTGGCTGACTGTGTGATGATCCATAATAATAATAGTAAAGTTGGAAGGGACCTTGGAGGTCATCTAGTCCAACCCCCTGCTCAGGCAGGAAACACTACACCATTTCAGACAAATGGCTGTCCAGTCTCTTCTTAATAACTTCCAGTGTTGGAGCATTCACCGCTTCTGGAGGCAGGTTGTTCCACTGGTTAATTATTCTAACTGTCAGGAAATTTCTCCTTAGTTCTAGGTTGCTTCTTTCTTCGGTCAGTTTCCATCCGTTGCTTCTTGTCCTGCCTTCAGGGGCTTTGGAGAATAGCTTGACTCCCTCTTCTTTGGGGCAGCCCCTGAGATATTGGAACACGACTATCATGTCCCCCCCCCATCCTTCTCTTCATTAAACTGGACATACCCAATAGTGACTCTATTCAAACCAATGCGATTGGCTTTGCTTTAATATTTAGAATCCCATCCTTCTCTTCTCCCAAAAGCTTTCAAGAAAACAGCTAATAGTATTCGGTAGCCTCTTAAAATCACTCTTCTTAATTATGAAAAACAAGCAAAAGTTATAGAAACAGGAACCAGCTGAAAAACGAGCAATACTATGGCTCCCTCCTCCTTCGTTAAAAGGCCGCAAATCTTTTGAGAACAGAGAAGGAAATGTTCTCTCTCTTTTTATGTTTTCATTTCTCTGCGGTCAATAAATATTGACCAGGAACACCAAGAAGTGGCTAAACAATATGAACCAACCTTTCCTTTTCATAGCTGTGCCCCCCCCCACCCTCAGTCATTTCAGTCATCTGTAATGTCTAGATCTCCTGCAACTGCGGAAGCTTTGAGAAAACACAAAGAACTGACAAAGAAAACACAACAACAACAACAACAACAAAGAACTAACACCAAGTGAAAAATGAGCTGCTGGATCTGTGCAACTGAGCAATCTTCACCCTACGGCAGTGGTTCTCAACCTTTCTAATGCCGCGACCCCATAATACATCACCCATGTTGTGGTGACCCCCAACCACTTATACATCACCGGGTGCCAGGGGCGTGGCCAAAGAAAAGGGGGAAAAATGGCGGACAGCCTTGTTTGGCGACCCCCGTGAAATGGTCGTTCGACCCCAAATGGGGTCCCGACCCACAGGTTGAGAACCATTGCCCTACGGGTTACAAGTGTGCAACTTTGTGCTCAGCACACCACTAGGACGGATGGCAGTTTTATGTTGGATTGCCCTCTAGAAGAATAAAAACAAGATGCCCATAAAATGGGGGGGGAAATCACAATCTTTTAAAAACAATCTTATTAAAATAATTTTCTCCGTCTCATTTTCTGCCCCAAGGACTCACCTCGGGGGATTTGCCAAGTGAAAACGAGAAATAGCATACAATGAGTTATCGCTGAACCAATCAGTGGAGCAAAATTATTGAACCCTCAGCAAAGACCCTGGGGGATCACGCAGCCTGAGCACGTTTGTACAAATCTGGCACTGGGCTGTGATAACCACCCCGAGTCACCACAGAATCAAGAACAATAGTGAAGAACAATATAGACCTGTGCAGTTAGTTACCTGCTGGGTTTAATTGGGGATTATTTGCCCTCCTTATGTTGAAATAAAATAGAGGAACACACAAATGAATGTGGTTTTCATGGATAATGGGGGGGGGTGAAACCTTGAAAGCTTTTTCAATTTTAAAACATGCCCCAAAGATCTTTCAAAGGACAGTGAGTTGTAATTCAGTCAATAAATAGGAAAGGATGAATAACAGAATAACAGATCTGGAAGGGACCTTGGAGGTCTTCTAGTTCAACCCCCTGCTCAGGCAGGAAATCCTACCTACATCATTTCAAAGTCCCTGGTTCATTTTATAATAATAATAATAATAATAGTTAAGTTGGAAGGGACCTTGGAGGTCATCTAGTCCAACGCCCTGCTCAGGCAGGAAACACTATACCATTTTGGACAAATGGTTGTCTAGTTTCTTCTTCAAAACTTCCAGTGTTGGAGCATTCACCGCTTCTGGAGGCAGGTTGTTCCACTGGTTAATTGTTCTAACTGTCAGGAAGTTTCTCCTTAGTTCTAGGTTGCTTCTCTCCTTGATTATTTTCCATCTGTTGCTTCTCGTCCTGCCTTCAGGTGCTTTGGAGAATAGCTTGACTGCCTCTTCTTTGTGGCAGCCCCTGAGATATTGGAAGACTGCTATCACGTCCCCCCTTGTCCTTCTCTTTGTTAAACTAGACATACCCAATTCCAGCAGCCGTTCCTTATATGTTTTAGCCTCCAGTCCTCTAATCATCTTCGTTGCTCTTCTCTGTACTCTTTCTAGAGTCTCAACATCTTTTTTACTTCGTGGTGACCTTACCAAGGCCTTGTAAAGTGGTATTAATACTTCACGTGATCTTGATTCTATCCCTCTGTTAATGCAGCCCAGCACTGTGTTGGCCTTTTTGGCAGCTGCAGCACACTGCTGACTCATATTTAGGTGATTGTCCACTAGGACTTGAGATCCCTCTCACAGTTACTACTATTTTGATTTCAGGGACATCAAAGCATTTCAAAATATCTGCTTTACAGCCGATCCTTGATTTATGACCACAATTGAGCCCAAAATTTCTGTTGCTAAGTGAGACATTTGTTGAGATTTGCCCCGGTTTACAATCTTTCTTGCACACTGTTGTTAAGTGAATCACTGCACTGGTTACACAGTGGCCACTGTTGTTAAGTGAATCTGGCTTTCCCGTTGCTTGTCGGAAGGTCACAAAAGGGGAGCCCCTGATCCCGTGACACTGCAACCATCATAAATATGAGTCAGTTGCCAAGCATCTGAATTCTGATGATCTGACTATAGGGATGCTGCAACTGCCATAAGTGTGAAAAAATGGTCATAAATGGTCACATTTTTCAGTTCCGTTGGAACTTTGAACGGTCCCTAAATGAACTGTTGTAAGTTCGAGGATTACCTGCATTAAGGTAATTATTGCTAATTTGCTATGATAATAGAGACGGATGTCTTTTTCAGTGGAATTATATTAATGAATTGCCACCTGCACCAAACTGTTAATTCAAGCTGAAATTCCAGGTGGTCCTTCGGCTACGTGCTAGTTCTACAATCCGGCTGAAAATAACCCCGATTGCTTCTAGCTCAGTGGTTCTCAACCTTTTTAATGCCACGACCCCCAACCGGTCGTAAGTCGAGGACTATTCAACTGGTGCAGCACCGTTTGCAGACTGGGATTTTTGGCGGGCTCAGCAGGACAGAGACAGCTTAGATAATTCCTATTGGCTTTTGAAAGCCAATAGAATTAGACTCTATTCAAGAGAGTCTATTCTATTGGCTTTCAAAAGCCAATAGAATAAAAGGGAGTAGCACAGCTAAGGAAAAGGGGGGAAAAAATGGTGGACTGTGTTGTTTGGCGACCCCCGTGAAATGGTCGTTCGACCCCAAATGGGGTCCCGACCCACAGGTGGAGAACCACTGTTCTAGCTGAAGCCATGTTTGTTAAAACTGTGTTAACCGAATAAAAGACCATTGACTAGAACGGCATGGCATGTTAAGCCAAAACTAAAAATTTGGCAAGCCAGTTCCATCCTAGCACGGGGCAAGGACTTCCTGGCTGCTACTGCAAACAGGATGTTTAAAATTAAAAAGTAATTGGTTTGATGCAGAAGTGTTTGGAAATGAATGAACAAGGCAAAAATGCTTTTCATCCTAAAGGACCTCTTGGCCCTGGCTGCCTCTCAAAGTGCTGTGAATAGAATTGGAGACACCACAGGCGAACCTTCTCAAAACTGATGTACTGGTGATTCAAACTTTCTTCAGAAAGAGAGGATAGTTTTGTCCTTCTGGATAAAAAAAAAAAAAAAAAAGTGGAGTCTAAAGTCGGGATGCTTTAATCATTATCTAGTTCTTACAAATCTTTTTTTTTAATAGCTAAAAGAAAGGAGGAAAAAACAAAGAGCGTAAAAAATAAACGAGGCGTCTGTTACGGTCCTTTTTTTTTTTTTTGCATGTATTCATTTTAAGTAGAATGATAGAATATTTGTACCTCAAGGTACCATCTCAGTAACTTTTAAGTTGCATTGCCTTCCACTCCAAGAATTGGAGTCAATGAATGAATGAATTAATTAATTCTTCTTAATGTGGCTGAGATGGAGAAACACTGGTTAAAACTAAAAAGAGAATAACAGAGGTTTTGGAAAAATGAGCAGCTATTGAAGTCTGAAGAGTCTGTTGCCAAACCAACACAACGCGGAGCGGTTTAAAATGTGCGGGTTTACACAGTTTGCATCAGTCACAGTTTATATTCTTATGACCTGCCAAACTACACACTAATTCCAAATTCAGACCTGTTCTGAGGGTTCAGCACCTCAAACCAGAATCTCCCTTGTGCCCCCCCCCTCCATTCGTTTGGCTGGAAGTCAAAGAATAAAATAATTGATTGCTATTAAATGGCAATCGGTTGTTTTTTTATTATTATTATTTATGGAAGGGTATGGATTCATCAAAGGGTATAGAAACATATTAAGCCAGAACCAAGCCAACTCCATTTTATGGTTGCGCTTCCACCTCCTAAAGCACAATTATTGAGGGGAACCACACATTCCCCCCCCCCCAAGATGCTTGTGAACTGAACTTAGCACGTCGGAAACAAAAGCCGGAGAGTCAGAAGCTGCTTGGCATTCATGCACCCCACTCCTCAGCCGCCCTGTGGCCTCTGTAACTCGGGGCGGGGGGAGGGAGTCCACCTCCCGTCTGGAGGCTCTGCGCGTCGTGTGAACGGACCCACTGGCGAGTTATCCAGCCCATCAAAGCGGAGCCCAGGGCGATCTGTGCGAACCGGCTGGGCTTCCCAATTTTACGCAGGAAAAACAGACGCAGCGCTTGCAGAAGAAGTAACTTGCCACGCTGGGGAGACAGAGACGTTTTCCACCCAGCCAGCCCCCCCCCCAGTCAGGTTTCTTTAAAATGCCGCCCCCGAGCAGGATGTCATGTGGAGCAGGGAGGGAGGGGCGGCGGCGGTGGTGGCTGGATAGGCGGGGGCGCGCTAAACCTCTCCTGGACCGGGTCTTCTGTGCTTCCTCGCTTCTTCCAACTGCGCGGCGCCCGGGAGGTCTTGAGCTACTGGTGGTGCCGTGCCGTGCCGTGCCGTGCCGTGCCTGGCGTTGTCCCCACCCAGCCGCGGGTCTGGGGGGCGCGAGAGACCTCTCCATCCGTCCAGGGTGGGAAACAAGCTCGTATAAGGAGACACCAAGGAGGTAAGGGGCAGGGACACACACACACACACACCCCCGAGGCTGGGAAAGCTTGGAGGAGTGAGATAGAGCCCCAGGGGACACGCCAACACGCGTCGTGCGTATGCATCTATCCGGAACGCACGCGTTTGGAATATACGCGCGCGTTTCCCCAGGAGTAGAGTTGCTAAGGCTTCGTTTAAGTCTGGACTAAGCGGGGATTTGACTCCGGAAGGTTTTGCACGGAGAGGGGAGGTTAGGAAACGGGGTAGCTCTGCAAGAGTGTATCTGAGGGCGTGCAAAGGGTCTTTTCTTTTTTTTTCTTTTTACCTTCTCAGCAGCCTGTAATGCAGTTGGACCCTCCAGCTGGGTTACAGAATAGACTTTTTCTTGGCCGTTATCTGGGAGCTTCTCCAAAGATCATCCGATTTGTAAAGTCTTGCGTTGATTTGGGCACGGCTGGATTTTAAAGCGAAATTGGCTGAGGCACACAGGGCACTCTGAAAGGATGCCTCCTTCTGAATTCTCAGTCTTTTCACAAGCCTAAGGAGCCTTGTGCAAAACGTGTCTAGAGAGGAAGCGGAAAAAGGCTGTAGAACTCGCACGTGGGTCTTGGTGAAGATGAAATGAGGGTGGTGGAATTTCTGCCTGGATTTCAAACATACCTTCATTGGCATCCCTGAACAAGGGACTTGGTGAATATCTGTCTAAATGTCTGTCTGGATTTATTCTTAAAATTCCATTCTTCCTCAAAGGAACTCGTTAGAGACCAGTTGTAACTCATCCCACGATTGTTTCATTTTTCGGTACAAAATATACGCAGAGCTAGCTGTGAAGCGATGGGATTCGTAGTTTAAAGCAGAGGTGTTCAACCTTGGCAACTTTCAGACCAGTGGACTTCAACACTCCATGCTGGCGGGGGAATTCTGGGAATTGAAGTCCACAGGTCTTTAGGTTGTCAAGGTGGGACGTTTTGGTCTAAAGTACCTGAAGGCACCGGGAAAGGATGATGTGCAGTACGCTATCACCTGAGGGATCGGTGATGGACAATTCCTACACAACATTATGGGTCAAAGTGCCTTAAAGAAATGGAAGGAAAGAGGGCATCTACCAATGCTCAAAGAGTTTTAATGTTCTCTGCAAATGGGAGCATGTTTGACCTAGGAAGAGGGAATCCAGCATACTTCAGAAATTAGATCCAGGTCATCACTGGATTCCGGTAACCTGTCCTGCTTTGAGGACATAAGGGAGCACCGGAGTTTTATTGCCTGACTCAACCAAGTCCAAAAGTGGGCTAAACATCAAGAGAAGAAGTTCAAGCTAGCAGTGAAAGGAAGGTCCCAAGGCAGAGACATTTGAGGGCATGGTAGCTGTCTTCTAGTACTTGTGGGGCTGTTGACTTATTCTCCAAAGCATCTGAAGATAGGACAAGAAGCAATGGGTGGAAGCTTGTTAAAAAAGAGTAGAAGAAGAAGTAAGGAGAAACTTTTTGACAGTGAGAATGATTAATCAAGCCCCACTAAGAGCCATAGCTTGGCTTGGAAGGTCGTGGCCATGTCTGTTTTTACCCAACTGGCTAGACCATCTTTGGTTTAGCCATGGTTAATGACACAATTGTGGCTGGCTGCATCCATTCAACAGAAGAGACCATTATGGTTTTCAGTTAAGTGGGGGTTCCATAACTGGTCAGATCAGACTTAAAGAATCCATGTTATCAGCTTAATGGGTTAAGGCAGTGGTTCTCAACCTGTGGGTTGGGACCCCATTTGGGGTCGAACGACCATTTCACGGGGGTCGCCAAACAATGCAGTCTGCCATTTTTTCCCCCTTTTCCTTAGCTGTGCTACTCCCTTTTATTCTATTGGCTTTTGAAAGCCAATAGGATAGACTCTCTTGAATAGAGTCTAATTCTATTGGCTTTCAAAAGCCAATAGGAATTGTCTAGGCTGACTCTGCCCTGCTGAGCCCGCCAAAAGTCCCATTCTGCAAACGGTGCTGCACCAGTTGAGTAGTCCTCGACTTACGATCGGTTGAGTAGTCCTCGACTTAATAACCGGTTGGGGGTCGTGGCATTAAAAAGGTTGAGAACCACTGGGTTAAGGGGACAGATAGGCTTGTGACACCGAATGGCTGTGGAGGATAATTCCGCCACTATTAATCGTGCTTATTAATAAGTAATTAATTAAACCTGCACTATTGCCACTACCACAGATGACCTAAAATCATGATTTAGCTTGGTTTATTTTGGTTTAGCAGACTGGCATTGAAGTTTATTCAGTAAATAAGACGATGCATTCCTTAGTGCAATGTCTGAACTAGCCCAAAGGTTTTATTGGGGCATCTGAAACACAAACTCACTATTTGTGTAATAAAGGTGTAAGATTTTTTTCCCCTGTCTCATTTTGCGAGATGGGTGGCTATTTAAATTTGAAGAATTCCATAATTAAATCAAAGTAAATACGCTGTTTAGCCTGGCTGCATTTGCTCCTAAAACCCACAGATTTTTTTCCCCCACTGTTATTTGAACGGAAGCTTTTCAGGAAATGTCTCACTTTCAGTCTGAATCTGGGACACGGGATGTGATGCTCTGCTGCCTCGCCTTCTCCAAAGCCCTTCTGATACCTGAGCCCCTGGTCTCTCTCCCTTTCTCTCTCCTATTCCTTCAAAAAAGTAATTTCTGCATCTACCAGCAATTAAGAGTACTTCTGTTTCCTATCCTCTTGACTCCGTGGAGGCAGAAGAAAAAATAATTTGTTTTATTTCAACAGAAAGCCTTTTTCAGCCTTTATGCTGGCAGCTTTATGGGCGGCTTCCAACATGCAAATCAGTGCTGTGCAACCTTTTCATAAAATGCCATTGTAGGTTTCCAGGAATCGGGAACAGAGTCACTTTGTTTGGCTGTCACTTTGGGTTTGTTCTCAGATTGCTGTTTGTTGGCAGGTCGGAGTGAACTTTGACGCACAAGGAAGCTGAGTTGGGGATATGAGGAACAACAACACTGTTAATTCCCTTGATGTTGTGCCAGGCTCCTGGTGCAAATTAATGTTATTTTTAAAAGGATCTCTCTCTTTCTCCCTCTCTCTCTGCTATCTATATCTATCATCAACTATATTATCTATCTCTACTTCTCTATAGGTCTACTGTCTGTATCTATCTACATCTACCTATCTGCTCTCCATCTATACTATACTACTATCTATACCATCTGTCTGTCTGTCTGTCTGTCTGTCTGTCTGTCCGTCCATCCATCCATCCATCCATCCATCCATCCATCCATCCATCCATCTATCTATCTATCTATCTATCTATCTATCTATCTATCTATCTATCACCTCTATGTCTATCTGTCTGTCTGTCTCTGTCTATCTGTCTATCATCTTTATGTCTCTGTCTATCTATCTATCTATCTATCTATCTATCTATCTATCTATCTATCTATCTATCTATCTAATCTTATATCCAGGGTTTTTGTTGTCATAGAACTCCCAGAATGGAGTTCCGGCACCTTTTTTTTGGATGGAACCTTGTAGGGTAGGCAAGGCGGGTTGTATGACATGTGTGAGTTCCGGCACCTTTTTTCTTCTTCTTCAAAAAAGCACTACTTATATCTATATCCACCGATCTGCTCTCTCTCTTTTTTATCTATAATCTGTCCTCTCTCTCTCTCTCTCTCCATCTCTATCGCTATTCCTTGATTTATGATCATAATGGAGCCAGCCCATTATGATCGTAAATAATGATGGATACAAATGTCCCAATTTTATGATCTTTTTTGCGGCAGTTATTAAGTGAATCATCATGTTTTTTTTAAACGAATCCACAGTCACTAAGTAAACTCATTGTTCACTATGGGGTGTTTTTGCCGACAGCCAGAAGTGGATGCCAATTTTGGCAAAAACGTCGTATATTGTGGCCACGTGACCAGGGGTGCTGCGAACAGCCATAAATGCCAGCCAGTTGCTCAGTGGCTGAAATGTGGTTATGTGACTGTGGGTGGCATGGCCTTGAATCTCAGAATCTCAGAAGGAGTTGTAAGTACCTTTTGGGGATCCACCATAACTGCAATGGTTGATAATCAATCGGTACTAAGTAAAGGATTATCTGCATCTGGGACACCCACTTGAGTTTAGGAGCCCTGATATTCTGACAAACCTGGTTCAGGTATCTGTTTGATTCCTTCAGTATCTAAGTAATAATATTTCAATTTTATTCAGATGGATGGGTAACTCCTAATCCCATTGGAACTGTTCTGGTGAAGCACCTGAAATGTCCATTTGAGCATTTCTTTGTGTGTGGAATTCTGATGTTTGACAGATGTCATTGCAGTAATATTCTCCACTTAAGCATCTCTTTGAGATGAACAGTTCCATAGCTTGAAGGGATTTCCACAGGGGATCCCAGCGGAGTTGGAATTATGGAGTCAGAATACCGAGACTTGCACTCAGGCAGTATTTTGTGCATGGCAAAGCAACAGCAAGAATCTTTGGATCTCGTCCAACCGCATGGTCTTGAAATCCCGCATCCTTAGATGGTTTCTTCTAGGGGGACTTAAGCTGGCTGGATAATTCTGTCAAAGTCCACAGTCTTAAAGTTGCCAAGATTGGATGTCCTAGGTCTAGTGCAGGGGTAGGCAACCTTGGCTCTTTTATGACTCGTGGACTTCAACTCCCAGAATTCCTGAGCCAGCTGTGCTGGCTCAGAAATTCTGGGAGTTGAAGTCCACGAGTCATAAAAGAGCCAAGGTTGCCTACCCCTGGTCTAGTGGGTCAGCTTTGAAACTTTTTAAAGCCAACACAGCCTTTTGTTAATGTTTTTCTTCTATTATTTTATTTTATTTTAGAGAGAATTCAGGAGCATAGCTGAGTGAGCGATTCATGCGCCGAGGCTGTGGCTCAAAATGAAGGATGTGCTTTTCTCCCATCATGTGGGAAGACAGATTGGTTTCATCTTGATGAGCTTTATCTTTATGGAGGTAAGAAGGTCACTCAGCAAACAGCAAGAGCTTGCCTTGTTCCCGGGGAATGTGTCAGGCGCAAAGAATCAGGACCATCCAATCAGGTTGCAACATAGAAGAATTTATTCAAGCCGGTACATAAGAATCTGGTCAACTAAAGTTTGACACTAAGTTGGCACCAGATAAGACTCAACAAAATTCAGGAGAGGTTGGACATGGACGCAACGATTCCAAACTGATGACACATTTAACTCTGCCCTCCAGCTCTGCCTGCTACAGAATTCTCCCAGATGCACCAGGGCTTCCTGGCCACAACTGGCCGAGCTCTTAAGCCTCCTGGAATACGTTGTGAAAGGAGGTAGAATTCAGCTGGGGAGAAGTGAAATTTTATTGGGCAGAAAACATTACCGGGTGGGTTAAAAAGAGTTTCTTGGATGAGTTTTCCAACTGAACTGTTTTTCATTGAAGAAAAATAAGATGCTCAGTAGTATATCTTTAATGAAAAACAGCAAGTGTCTAGACTTCATCAGGGCTAGGATCTCAGTCAATGGATTAAAACAAAAGAGGCTAAAAGGAGATAAGTCAGCTAATAGAAACCATTCTAGAAGCAAGTCGAGATCTTCCTCCTTCATTCAAAATCCTGGCTGAGGATTTAAGTCCTTCTCCCAAAAGAAGAAAAGAGTTGATCTCCATTCACATGTGGTCAAATCTGAGTGTTGAGTGGGCATTTCTTTCCCCTTGTCCAAGAATGTCTTATCTATCAGTACAGAAATCAGGCTGGAGGCACATAGTGTACATCAGGGGTGTCAAACTGCCGGCCCGTGTGCTGGATGCGTCATGAGGAAACCGCACCCACCCCATTGCTGGCAATGGGGAAATAGCTCCGATACGTTGCGCGACGTCATGTGACGTTGCGAGTTTGACATATCTGGTATACATGACTAAAATGAATACAGTGTATTATGTGGCATGATCTTTCCTCACTCAGAGGAAGCCAGTCGTTGAATGGATTTTGATTGATTGGGGGATTCTGGGAATTGAAGTCCACAGGTCTTAAAGTTGCCAAGGTTGGACACCCCTGCTTTAGAACAAAGATGCCAGTTTCGAGACCTTACAGTGTTGTTCCAGAGCACCAGAACCACATGATCCTAGCACCAGGGAAACAGAGTGAATGAAATCTAGATAGGAATAGTATGCTCTGAATATTGTGCTTCTGACCAGGCTAATAAAGGTGTAATTTTATGCAGAGTTGCAGCGCAAAGATTCTAGAGAAGACATTTGACCAGTGGTTGAGATATAAAGAGGAATGTATGAAGAAGATGGCCAGTGATCCTTATCCTTCAGGTAAGAGTCTCTGTCTTTGGTGAACTGTCAGTCACAGAAACAATGGTGTCTTGAGGGTAAAATTACAGAAGGACAGAGTTGGAAGGGACCTTAGAGGTCTTCTAGCCCAACCCCCTGCTCAAGCAGGAAACCCTATACCATTTTAGACAAATGGCTGCCCAATCACTTCTTGAAAACCTCCAGTGATGGAGCATCCATAACTCTGGGAGGCAAGCATTCCAATGATTAATTGTTCTCACTGTCACTAATTTCTCCTTAGTTCTAGGTTGCTTCTCTCTTTCACCCATTACTTCTTGTCCTGCCCTCAGGTGCTTTGGAGAATAGATTGACCTCTTCTCTGTGATAGGACCTCAAGTACTGGGAGATTGCTATCATATCACCCCTAGTCCTTCTCTTTATTAGACTAGAGTCTAGACATACATGAATGAATGAATGAATGAATGAATGAATGAATGAATGAATGAATGTTATTTTAACCATCCAGTCATGTCTGACTCTTGGCGACTTTATAGGCAAGTGCTCTCCATGCTATCTTATCAAACAGAGTTTCTTTCAGTTGTTGGACGTTCATCTTTGTATCAGTTTTGATGTTATCAAGCCAACATGTTGTTCTTATTCCACGAACCATTCCTAGCATCATTGACTTCTCCAATGAATTTGCATGTATGGCATGGTTAAAGTAAACTGGACATAGTCTTCTGATTTGAGCTTCTAGTGATGTGTCTGGCTTTTATATGATTCAACACCTCCTGTTGGTTGTTCAGGTTGTCCATGGTATATGCAACAATGTATGCCAGGAATGGTTGAATGAATAGATCTAGAAAGTTTCATGCTATCAATACTGTTGACTGTGAGTATTTAGATGCTTGTGGGTATTCTAGTTCTAAACCCAGTTAAATCAAGGTCATCCTACCCAAACAATCTTGCTTCTGTGCCTTGCAGGCCTCTTTTGCAACCGGACATTTGATATGTATGCGTGCTGGCCAGATGGGAATCCAGGAGCTATTGTCAACGTATCTTGTCCTTTCTATCTACCCTGGTACGAGAAAGGTAAGTAAGGTTGGATCTTGGGATGCTTGGAAAGGGATCAGCAAAATATCCCAAGTAGATTGCTTCCTAGATACACTGAAGTTAGTTTGTTTCATCTCCTCCTTTTTCAATGAAAAAACAAGAACGTGAAAATGTGGAAGAACTGCTCCATCAATCCAAAACATCCGTATTATAAAATGTCCATCCTGCTCTGCGTTGTTTTGCTCCCATGAAAATCTAACCAAATCAGGAGTGGGGATTCTCAGAGACTCTTCCCATCCTGCTTACAATCTCTTTGGACTGTTGCCTTCTGGCAGAAGATATAGAACATTTAAAACTCGGACCACATGTTTTCTGAATAGTTTTTATTCCAGAGCTATAATTGCACTTAATAATGAACTAAAGGGCCACCATCAGTGAACTGTTGGACAGTATTACTTGGTTTGTTGGGTGGATGTTTGGGTGGTTTTAGGGGTGGGGAATTGTGGTGGGTGGGAGTGTGTTTGGGGATTATGTGTGTGGGACCTGGTCTTTGGGTGTCATGTAAATTTCGTTGTATGTGTATACTGTGTATACACATACAATGACAATAAAGTTTATTTATTTATTTAAAGCAGACAGGTGGAGAGTCCGCGCTGATTCTGGCTCTTTGTGCTTGCAGTTAAACAGGGCGTTGTGAGCCGCATATGTGGGCTTGATGGGAATTGGGCGCTGCTGAATGGGACGGAGTTCTGGCGGGACCACGTCCAGTGTATCGAAGAAATGGAAGCCACCACGAAAGAGGTGAGAAACAAAGTCAGTTAGAACTAAGTGGCATGTCAGGGTAATGATTTATGAAGGCTGTTCCCCAGATATCAACAGAGGAATAGTTTCAACATCGCGAGAAGTAATGAAGCCATACTTGGCCTAGTCTAGTGCATCTGGTGCTGGTCACCACGATACAAAAAAGATGTTGAGACCCTAGGGCAGGGGGTTAGGCAACCTGGGCTCTTTTATGACCTGTGGACTTCAACTCCCAGATTCCTGAGCCAGTGACGCTGAGGAGAAAGGGAGAGGTTTCCAAGCTGAGCCATGGTGGCTCAGGAATTCTGGGAGTTGAAGTCCAGGAGTCATAAAAGAGCCAAGGTTGCCTACCCCTGGTCTAGGTCTTTAGGCAGCACAGGGACCCCCAAGTTGACTGAAGATATGAAATCTTATTTGCTCAAATCAATGCTGGGTACGGGGCCCATCGAAAAGAAACTGGTCTTGCTTCCTTCACGATACTTCAAAACATGAGGAGAAACCACTGTTGCGTGTCCTTTCTGAACAATCCAGTTGGCCTGTGCCATGATTGGCAGGTGTGTCCTTCTAAACCAGGGGTAGGCAGCCTTGGCTCTTTTATGACTCGTGGACTTCAACTCCCAGAATTCCTGAGCCACCATGGCTCAGTTTGGGAACCTCTCCCTTTCCCCTCAGCGTGGCTGGCTCAGGAATTCTGGGAGTTGAAGTCCACAAGTCATAAAAGAGCCACGGTTACCTACCCATCCTAGAAATAGTGCAGAGAAGAGCAACAAAGATGAGGAGGGGTCTGGAGGCTAAATCGTATGATAAATAATTGCAGGAACTGGGTATGTGTACTTTAACAAAGAGTAGGATGAGGAGGAACATGCTAACTGTCTTCCATACTTGAGGGGCAGTTACAGAGAAGAGGGGATCGACCTGTTCTCCAAAATACAAGAAATAACGGGCGGAAGCTTGTTAAGGAGACATCCAACCAAGGAGAAATTTTCTGACAGTGAGAAGCATCAGTCGATCCATCAAATAGACTGGCAGCCATTTGTCTGAAATATTATAGGGCAGTGATGGCGAACCTTTTAGAGACCGAGTGCCCAAAAACGGGCCCCGTCCCCACTCCTCCCCTGCCCCGCCCCCACCCCGCTTGCCCGCAGGGCCACTCACCGCCTCCAGGGCCCGCCGCAGATCGCCCAGGCAGCCCAGCAGCGCCATGGCGGCCACACCCTCTGCTCACGCCCCACAACATCAACTGTGTGCGATGGGCCGTGAGGGCAGAGTCTTGTCTATGCTGCCTGGCTGCCATGTCCTTGGCTGCGCTGCTCCGCGTGGGCCATGCTAGGGGAGACTCTCTTCCAGGGGGCTGCTGGTGAGGAGGGGGTCGCAGGGGGAGGCAAGTCTGGGGCAACGGGCACGTGTGCCTACAGAGAGGGCTCCTAGTGCTACATCTGGCACCCGTGCCATAGGTTTGCCACCACTGGTATAGGGCTTCTTCTTTGAGCATGAGTTGGACTAGAAGACCTCCAGGATCCAACTCTGTTATACTGTTCTTCTGATGCTTGCTTGCCTCCTGGAGTTGTGGGTGCTCCATCGCTGAAGATTTCCAAACGTAGACTGGACAACCATTTGGCTGTACCCTCTTCCTCTTCCACCCCCGTGCTGCTCATCAGCCAGTTCTACCTCTCCTCCACCCCAAAATACTCTCTGTGTCTACAGCTCCTTTTCACCAGCTTGATAGACCTCCTTCTTTCTTGTGTAGGAAGCAGCTCATCGCCTTATGATCAGCTTCAAAGTCCTTTACACGGTGGGCTACTCCCTGTCGCTGCTGGCCCTGATCTTGGCTCTAATCACCTTGACTGTCTTCAGGTAATGCTTCCCATGGTATCTGAGCAACGAGGGGGCTCCCAAGCATCAAATCTGGAGACGGTATAGAGACCACAGTCCTACCGCGCAGCATGTCTCAAGCTTAGCAACTCTAAAAGGTGTGGATTTCAACTCCCAGAATTCCCCAGCCAGCATACAGCTGTCTGGAAATTTCCGGGAGTTGAACTCGACACATCTTAAAATTTGCCAAGGTTGTGAAACAGCACTGATAGAGAGTGTGGTCCTTCACTCTGCCTTGACGATGTTACCTAGTTCGGTAATGAAAAGTCTGCAGGAGACAACCAAGCTCAAGAGAGCATCCAGGACCCCACAGTCCGATCCTGAGCTACAGATATTCTCTTCTATCGGTACTTAATATAGTGATTATTTCATTTACAAATTGCCCTGACTACTGGGCACCTTTTTCCTAATATTTAAAGCGGCGTTTGCCTTTCTGTATCTTCAATCCATTATCCAGTCTCCTATACTCTGAAATAATGGAGAACAAATTTTGGCCTTCCTCTTTCTGATACCCTTTCAAGAGTTAAAAAGATTTGAAGTATGGGACTATAAAGTTTCATTTATTTTATGAGTAAACTTTATAGTAAATGTTGTATAAGAGATTTGTTTATGATGATGTAATTTAAGGGGAGTTAAGGGCTAAGTATGATTTTTTTCCTCTCTCTTTCTTTTTTCTTTTTTCTTGTATATTGTTAATTTTGTTATTAATAACCCTGTACTCTGCTCTGGGAAGTGAGGGGGGGGGTTGAGGGGGGGTGGGTGGGAGAGTGGGTGGGTAAATAGGTAGAATAGGATAATATAGATATGGTAATTTATGAGAGAGGTGCTGCTTGGGCATTTCTCCTACGCTGTATTCCTGTATTTGAAAGGGATGAGAGGGGAGGAAGGTGAAGAGAGGAAGTAGGATGGTAAGAGGAGAAGGGGAGGGGAAGCGAGTAGTGAGGGGAGGAGAGAAAGAGGAGGGAAGTAAGGAAGGTATTAGGGAGGGTGGATACAGCAAGGAGCAAGCGGCACCTATGGTTATGGTTATGATTATGAATTTATTTTATTTTGTAAAGTGAATTTTGTTGTATAACTATGTTGGATAAATGGAAAATAAAAAAAAAATATTAAAAAAAAAAGAGTTAAAAAGATTTAGCCGGCCTATTTTTTTTTTTTTTTTAGCCATTTTTTTCTCAAGGCTAAATATGCCCGTCTCTTTCTACCTGCCTTTGTGGCATTTACTTTTGAACTTCCCATTCATTCTTGGGGTGGGGAATTGTGGTGGGTGGGAGTGTGTTTGGGGATTATGTGTGTGGGACCTGGTCTCTGGGTGTCAAGTAAATTTCGTTGTACGTGTACACTGTGTATACACATACAATGACAATAAAGTTTATTTATTTATTTATTATTTATTATTCTTGTTGCCATTGTCTGAATCTGCTCCAGTTTTCCTGAATCCTTCTTAAAATACGGCACCAGGACTGCATACTGTATGTACAGTAGTGGCCAAAATTGTGGAAACTTTTTTGGGAAAAGTGTATTTTTGAGGTTTGATGGCTAATAACACCACTTTGTTTTTGGAGTAGTACCATAAATTTATATATCAATAGAAAGATAACTTAATCGAGAATGTAATGCAACGTAGTTTGTTCAATTATCTGTACTGTATTCTATGAAAAACGATAGCCAAATAACCAGAAAAAGGAAGCACAACTTGCTTAGGTTGATCTCAGGTAGCTTTCCTTTATCTGATTATAGCTAATGAGCATGACTGTTTAGAGAGCCAATCAGGTGTCATCTTCTTTTGGCAATGAGTCAATCAGATCACAGTAGGATTCAGTTATTAAAGTCATTATTGAAGCTGAGAGGAGGACATTGGTCAGTGTGTTGTGTGATCGCCATCAAGTTGGTTGGGGGTTTTTTGTGTTCTTTCATTGAGTGAGCTTGTAAAATGTAATAAAATTAAAGTCATGGTGCAAAGAGTTGATTGGTCGCCCAGAAAGCAATGTAAAATAGGATTATTAAGTGAACAAGGTTGCAGTGATAAAGAAATTAGAAGAAAAATGGGTGGAAACTTAACCAAAGGTGGCATTTCTACTGTACACTTTTCCCAAAAGGTTTCCACAATTTTGGCCACTACTGTAGTCAAGATGGAGGCTAATATAGAACAAAATGGGAGATGACTTCTCCTGATTTAGATGTTGATAGAATCAACCTCATGTTGGATCTTTTTAGAGATGATCCTTTGGTTTTTGTTGAGACTCTCAAAGGTTCTTCTCGACCAGGGCTGTCCAACCTTGGCAACCTTAAGAGATGTGGACTTCAACTCCTGGAATTCCTTAGAAGTTTTGCTGGCTGAGGAATTCTGGGAGTTGAAGTCCACAAATCTTAAAAGTTGCCAAGGTTGGACACCCTCATTGCACATTGCACCATTCCAAATGCACATAGCTACTCAATTCTCCTTAAAAGCCCCCAATAAAAGGAAACTCTTTCTCCAGTTGTGTCCACCATATAATGAAAGTTCTCACAATCCAAAAAAGATTTTCTATTAGCTGATTTAATTATGACAATTTTGCCTATTAATGTGTTCTCTTGGTCTTTCAGGAGACTTCGCTGCACTCGGAATTATATTCATGCTAATCTTTTTGCTTCCTTTGGGCTACGGGCCATTTCGGTGATAGTGAAGGATGCGTTGCTGGAGACGATGTGGGGAAGGGACACCTTCCAGATGTCTGACTGGGAAGCCTTATTGAGTCATGAGGTAGATACTGTCTTCCTAAGACTGGTTTCAGACAATGGAGGTTAAAGACCTTAGAAGGACTTTTCCTCAGGTCTTCTCATAGTGATAGGTTTTAAGCCAAGAAATCACAAAGCTTGTCTGGCAGCCATTGTAGAAGAATTAGCTGACTCTATGCCATTGCCCGGGGGATGAGAGGCTTATTCCTTGCCCTCCAGTGGAAGTTAGGTTCCTACCCTACTCAAACTTCTCCTTGGATCCAGCTGGTTCCACACATTAAACATGACTAGTTGAATAAACCACAATTGGCTGGGCTTTCAGGACTTGCTGAGACATGATCCCTGGTTTGCAAATCACACCATCTGAATTTACCCAACAAGCTAAGCCATAATTACTTATGTTGCAGTTTAGTGTGAAGTAGATGGGTATGAAAATGGTTCAGATGGGAACAGCCCTAGAGCTAACTCAACGTATTTTGCTACCTGGGGTGAAAGCCAGTAAGTTCATATGATGCAGTCTTCAGTTCAGTTCCAGGCTATCTCCCATAGAGCTGTAAAAGATCCCTTTCTGACATCCTGTAGGCCCACTGAGATTGGCTGTTTAGGTGTTTTTGGTAGTGAAGTCTACAACCAGGATATCCCAATGGGTTCTCATCCAAGTACTAATCAGGTTGTCCTCAAAATGCCCTTCTTTTGGAGAAGTAAAAAGCCATTCCAATAGAAGAGAATATTTGTAATTCCGGGTGGAACAATGGAGTCCTTGGTGCTCTCTGAGCTTGTTTGTTTTCTTGCAGACATTTCATGACCCAACTAGGTAATACCATCAGTACTAGAAGGGAGTAGGGTTTGCAAAGAGGAGGGGGAGGAGGAGGAGGAGGAGAACAACTGTGGAGTCCTTGGTGGCTTTCTTGCAGATGTTTCACTACCAGACCAGGTAACACCATCAATGTCATTCTTTCCTCTTTTCTCTGCTTCCCTTCTCTTAGGCTGCCATTGGTTGCCGGGTGGCTCAGGTCTTGATGCAATACTGCATTCTAGCCAATCACTATTGGTTTCTGGTGGAGGCCGTCTACCTATACAAACTGCTGATTGGCGCTGTGTTTTCAGAGAAGAATTACTACACGCTGTACCTCTACCTTGGCTGGGGTGAGATGAAGTGTTCCTCTAATGTTGGGGGCCAGGATTCAAATTATTTCAGTCTTCCCCATTACGCACCACACATTTGGAGGACATTAAGGGAGAAAAGCCCTCATTGTGTTCAGGATACTCTTGAGGAGGCAGGTGAAGAAGAGGTGCAATCATCCTAACAATCTTTGCCTTCAAGCACAGGAATGAGGTATTTGCAGCTAATAGTTCGACTGGGTATGTACAGTAGTGGCCAAAATTGTGGAAACCTTTTGGGAAAAGTGTACAGTAGAAATGCTACCTTTGGTTGAGTTTCCACCCATTTTTCTTCTAATTTAGCCTTGTTCACTTAATAATACTGTTTTACATCGCTTTCTGGGCAACCAGTCAACTCTTTGCACCATTACTTTAATTTCATTACATTTTACAAGCTCACTAAATGAAAGAACGCAAAAAAAACCCAACCAACTTGATGGCGATCACACGACACACTGACAAATGTCCTCCTCACAGCTTCAATACATGACATCAATAACTGAATCCTACTGTGATCTGATTGGCTCATTGCCAAAACAAGATGACACCCGATTGGCTCTCTAAACACTCGTGCTTATTGGCTACAATCAGATGAAAGAAAGCTCCCTGATATCAACCTGAGCAAGTTGTGCTTCCTTTTTCTGGTTATTTGGCTATAACTTTTCATAGAATACAGTACAGATAATTGAACAAACTTTGCTGCATTACATTCTTGATTAAATTATCTTTCCATTGATATGTAATTTTATAGTGCTACTTCAAAAAAAGTGATGTTATTAGCCATCAAACCTCAAAAATACACTTTTCCCAAAAGGTTTCCACAATTTTGGCCACTACTGTGAATAGGGATGTGGCCACTGGTTGAAGGGACTGGCCGTTAAGTCACTTTTTTCAGTGCCGTTGTAATTTTGAACAGTTGTTAAACAAATGGTTGTAAGTCAAACACTACCTGCATCCTTCTTCTTCCTTCCTTTTATTTCTTCCTTTTTATTATTTTTTATTTTCCTTTTAGTTTTTTTCTCCTTCCTTCCTTCCTTCCTTCCTTCCTTCCTTCCTTCCTTCCTTCCTTCCTTCCTTCGAGTCAGAATAATAGAAGGTGCTTTAGTGTGCCATTTTAAAATCTGCAGAACTGATTCCAACGGCAAAATTTGCATTCTCTGGGCAATTTTCCCTCTTAAATTGGATCAGTTCAATGGCTTATGGAACCTGAGACGTATTTCTTGGATGCAATCTTTTCAGCACCTAAGAAAAACCAGTAAAATAAAACAGGAGGCAGGAACCAACATATTGGAGAGAAACTGGACAGCTAGGGGGAGGAGTCAAGCGGGGAGTTAGCCTGGAATCATCACATAGGCACAAAAGGGCAAATCCCCCCCCCTGCTTTAAATGCCATTGAATTTGATCTTGTCTAGCCCAGATGCAAACTGCCAGCCTGGGAAAGTTCCTGTGAAATAGCCATAAGCAATAAAGTAGCTAATTGATATTGTGGATCTGGTTGTTTGTGTCTGACACAACTTGCTTGCTGATTCCCTTGATCATTTTGCTTTTTTTAAAAAAAAATAGGGACCCCTGTGGCCTTTGTGGTACCCTGGATGGCTGCCAAATACCTGAAGGAAAACACAGAGTGAGTCTGGAGATGCTGGGTGGGAATCACTTTTAAACATTTGGGGGGGGGGGCTTAATGAAAATAGACAATGTCACCTCTTTGCTGTCTTCTTCGACAACTTTCTGGAGGAAAAAGTACTTTTCCTCCAGATCTGAACCATTTGTAACAAAGAGTCCTGAAAGTGTGTCATAACATTTCATAAGATTCCTATCATAGATGGAAGAAGGAAGACTGGGTTTATCCTAAGGATACTAGAACTTAGAATGTCATGTCCTGCTGGAGCAACCTGAAGTAAGCACTGCAGAGCAAGAACAGACCTTAGTTCTGTATATTGTAGAGCTTCAAGTTGGCACAGCATCACCACGATATAAAAAAGATGCTGAGACTCTGGAAAGTGTGCAGAGAAGAATAACAAAGCTGATTAGGGGACAGGAGGTTAAATCGTATGATGAATGGTGGAGAGAACTAGGTATGTCTAGTCTAATGAAGAGAAGGATCAGGGAGACGTTATAATTGTCTTCCAGTACTTGAGAGGCTTTCACAGGAAAGAGGGAGCTGACCCATTCTCCAAGCACCTGAGGGCAGGACACGAAGTAATGGGTGGAAGATCATTAAAGAGAACTAGGGAGAAATTTCCTGACAGTGAGAATTGTCATAAAAGAGCCAAGGTTGCCTACCCCTGCCCTAGAAGAAGAGAATGACCAACCAGTTCTATTATCGTCAAGCCCATGGGTCTTCAGACTTGGCTCTTTTATGACTCGTGGACTTCAACTCCCAGAATTCCTGAGCCAGCCATGCTGAGGGAAAAGGGAGCGGTTTCCAAGCTGAGCCATGCTGGCTCAGGAATTCTGGGAGTTGAAGTCCACGAGTCATAAAAGAGCCAAGGTTGCCTACTCCTGGACTACACCTAGGATGTCAAACTGCTGGCCTGCAGGCTGGATGCGTCACACCGAAACCGAGCCCACCCCATTGCTGGCAATGGGGAAAAAATCACGATACGTCACGACACGTCACGTGACGTTGCGAGTCTGACACCCCTGGACTAGACAATCATTTGAGCAAGAAGGTATAAGGTCTTCTGTCTTGAGCAGGGGATTGGACTAAAAGATCTCCAAGGTCACTTCCAACCCTAGAATTCTATAGTCTATGGATACATTTTCTACTCAACAAAAACTACAGGCACTGGATAATGAAGAAGCATTGTGAAATCTAGGTTGCTGACTGAGGTCCCCTGGGGCAAGGGAGAGAATCTGGTCCTCCTGCTCTCCACCAGGACTAGGGATGATGAGCAAACAGGCTTTTCCATCCACTCACAAGACAAGCTGTTCAAGAAACGCCACTCATGGCAATCAATTTCTTTGAAAAACATGATCTTCTAATGCCCCTTTGGACTTAATTGTGGAGTGGTAACTTATAAAGCAGCCCCAATGCTCTCCAACCTTCATAGCCAATAAGACCTATCAACAACCTGTCAGAACATTTATCTGTGCTATGGATGATTAGAATATGGTTCTGATTTGTATCTAATGGCCGCCTTATTTTCTATCCTGCAGGTGCTGGGGGGTTAATGAGAACATGGCTTACTGGTGGATTATTCGTTTCCCTATTCTGCTGGCATGCATGGTAAGCACCCCTCAGGTTGAAATGGGAAGGAGATGACAGGACCTGGTGCAAATCTTCTATGATTTGGAAATTCTACTTTAGGGTCTGTGAAGAACATTGACACTAATCTTCGGAAAAAAAATTGCAATCCCCATCATCTTATGATGTGATGTTGAATTGATTTGCACCACAAAAACCATGGTACTCTCGTTCTAATTGTTCCATTTGTTCCACATGATAGCATGTAGAGTTTTATTTATTTATTTAGTTTCATATATATATATATATATACAGTAGTGGCCAAAATTGTGGAAACCTTTTGGGAAAAGTGTATTTTTGAGGTCTGATGGCTAATAACACCGCTTTTATTTGGAGTAGTATCATAAAATTATGTATCAATGGAAAGATAATTTAATCAAGAATATAATGCAACATAATTTGTTCAATTATCTGTACTGCATTCTATGAAAAGTTAGAACCAAATAACCAGAAAAAGGAAGCAGAACTTGCTTAGGTTGATATCAGGTAACTTTCCTTCATCTGATTGTAGCCAATGAGCGTGAGTGTTTAGAGAGCCAGTCAGGTGTCATCTCGGTTTGGCAATGAGCCAATCAGATCACAGTAGGATTCAGTGATTGATGTCATGTATTGAAGCCGAGAGGAGGACATTGGTCAGTGTGTTGTGTGATCGCCATCAAGTTGGTTGGGGGTTTTTTTGTGTTCTTTCATTTAGTGAGCTTGTAAAACGTAATGAAATTAAAGTCATGGTGCAAAGAGTTGACTGGTTGCCCAGGAAGCGATGTAAAATAGTATTATTAAATGAACAAGGCTGCAGTTATAAAGAAATTAGAAGAAAAACGGGTGGAAACTTAACCAAAGGTGGCATTTCTACTGTACACTTTTCCCAAAAGGTTTCCACAATTTTGGCTATGTATGTATGTATGTATGTATGTATGTATGTATGTATGTATGTATGTCCCGTTTTGTGATCATCTGACAAGCAAAGTCAAAGGGAAGCCAGAGTCACTTAACAACCCTGACACTAATGGCAGTGATTCATTTAACAACTATGGCAAGAAAGCTCATAAAATGGGACAAAATTCACTTAACAAATGCCCCACTTAGTAACAGAAATTTTGGGCTCAGTTATGGTAAGTTGAGGACTACCTGTATGTATATATATATATATTATTGTAGAAAGACTCATCTTTTTGCAATTTCAACTGCTTAGTTCAGCGCTGAACATCTAATCAATGGAGTTAAGGAACTACTTAAATGCCTGGAGTTCTGAAAATTGCTTTCCGAAGATTTCAGCACATAATGAGCATGAAGTCACCACTGAGTTCATCTTTTTAACTTTCCTGTGTAATGACAATATTTTTTTCAGAAAGCTCAGTCATCCTCCAATACATGCCTCCTGTTTCTTCCCAGGTTAATCTGTTGATTTTCATGCAAATTCTCAAGGTAATCTTAGCTAAGTTACGGGCTAGTCAGAAGGACTACGCGGATTATAAACTGCGGTGAGTTGAGCTCTCCAGGCCAGCAATCCATGGTGGTTGATTGTGGCTTCCTAACCGAAGGTTGTTATCTCGGTCTGATTCTGCCCTACTAATTCTGACATCTCCACGGTCTCTTCCAGGTTAGCCAAGGCCACGCTAACCCTCATCCCTCTGTTTGGGATTCATGAAGTGGTTTTCATCTTTGCCACCGACGAGCAAACCACGGGAATCTTGCGTTACATCAAAGTTTTCTTCACACTTTCCCTCAACTCCTTCCAGGTAACTTTCACCTCAGTGCCATTCTGATTCATCCTTCAGATATTTATGGTTGGCTCCTAGTCACTGCATTCACTCATATTCAGATATGGGGAATCTTACTGTGCCAACGTTGCAGTAGAAACCTTTCTGTGTTTCTTGATAGTCAAATGGTCAAGGTTGATTCCATGTCCAACAGTAACCCTTTCAAAAAGATATATCTTTTCATTTTGAAGAGCTGAAGGTTCCTCTTCCACACTGTGGCTCACATTGAGCTTTGTACCAAGCCCTTAATATCAGTAGCTAACCATTTTGTGTGTTTCGGCCTTCAAGTCAAACTTGATTCCAAACAACTATAGTTTTCATTTTAGGAAGTTATTTGCCATAGCTTTCTTGCTAGGGATGAGAGAAACTGGTCCAAGGCCACAACTGGCTTTGTGCCTAAGGCAGGACTAGAACTCAAGTCACCTGGTTTCTAGCATGGCACCTTGAACTACCATACCAAACTGTCTCTTTGTCTCTAGTCATATAATGCTATAAATCTAGTGCCTAAGTTGCTTTCTCCAACTTGGTGCCCTCCTATGCACTTGTCTTCCAATCCCATGTTCTGGGTCTCCCACCAAGACGACAATGGTGCATGCCAGAGATCGAAACATACCCCAAATGGAAAGTACCACAGTGGGGGGGAGGGGGAATTGAATTGGGGAAGAATGAAAAAATAAAAACAAAAGAGTCCATCTGAACAAGTTTGGCTCTGAAGAGCATGAAATATTTTTTGGTAAAGCTGTAGGGATAGACTTAAATATCATAGTTGTAGACTTGGAAGGGACCACAATTTCTACAACTGACTCCAAAATGTAATTTCCACCAGGCAAGATTTGGGTTATGTAACAGGATACCAGCTTATACCCAATTCTGATATCTATGTTAGTCCAGATCCAATGCCCAATCACCACAATTTTAAGTACCATGACAGATGTGTCTAATAAATTGTTGTTGTTAGTTGCAAAGTTGTGTCCGACCCATCGTGACCCCATGGACAACGTTCCTCCAGGCCTTCCTGTCTTCTACCATCTTCTGGAGTCCATTTAAGTTCATGCCTACTGCTTCAGTGACTCCATCCAGCCACCTCATTCTCTGTCGTCCCGTTCTTCTTTTGCCCTCAATCTTTCCCAGCATTAGGCTCTTCTCCCGTGAGTCCTTCCTTCTCATTAGGTTGCCAAAGTACTTGAGTCTCAACTTCAGGATCTGGCCTTCTAAAGAGCAGTCAAGGTTTGATCACCTTGCAGTCCAGGGGACTCGCAGGAGTCTAATAGATAACCTGTTCTATCTACTACAGGGGTTCCTGGTTGCTGTTCTCTACTGCTTTGCCAATAAGGAAGTGAGTATCCCCCCCCCCCCTCTTGACCCATCACTAATTCTTAACAGCTTCAGAGGGATCCTTCAGGCCTTCTCTAACTTTAGATACAAAGGCACTACCAGAGATGGTTTATTCTAGTGTTTCTCAACTGTGGCAACTTTAAGACAGATGGATTTCATCTTCCAGTATTCCCTGGCCAGTTTTGCTGGTTTAGACGAGAGTAATTAAGAGCATCATAAATGGCTATGTTTAAAAAAAAAAAAAAAAAAACAAGAGGGAAGAAATAGAGGATTGATTTTACAGAATTACTGCAAGCTTAAAAGAGGAAACCTAGATATTGATAAAATTCTACATCTTTTCAGATCTAAGTTTTCAGAGAACATTAAGGTTCAGGTAGTGGACTGGGATTGGAGAGACCTGGATTCAGATGCCCACTCAAACAAGCAGGTGACAACTTTGGGCCAGTCATTTTCCCAGTCCATCCTGCCTGAAGAAGTGGTTCCTGTGTAATAAAATGGAGATATCTCCATCACATATAAAACACTTACAGTATGCTCAGAGATAAGGCAGGAGGTAACTGTAGTACTGTAATTTTTTTTTTAAAAAAATGCAACCATCTTTTCAGCTATTCTTGGATTCCAGAATCACCAATTAATCTTTTATGTGTTTTGGTTTCCAAGGATTCCAATATTCCTATGTAGGCAGAGGAAAGTGCTGTGAGATCCAGGAGAAAACATTAACTCTTAAAAATGCTTCTTGTTCCAGGTGAAATCTGAAATGAAGAAGAAATGGCAGTTGTGGAAACTGGACCATCCAGCGCTCAGCTGCACTCAGTGAAAGAAATATGGAATTTGGTGTATCATACAGCAAGGATGTGCAGAAGTGGTTCAGATGGGCCTTGAAACTGCTCGGAAGGGATTATTGTTGCTGCCGTTTAAGGCAATTATGACCTATTCTAGAATGAAACTCTTTTGATGGTTTGCTATCTTCACTGTCTTGAGGCCAAAACATGGGGAAAAGAGCTTGACCCAGTATGGGCAGGAGGAAGTTTTGAAGAACGTGATGGGAAAACTGTCTGGAACCAACGGCAAGAGGAATTGTGAAGCTTTTGAAACGGTGTCGCGTGCACATATCATGGACCTTAAATTAGCTCAGGATCCCAACTTTTATTGGTCAGACTTGACTTTCATGACAGGTAATGCTCTTCAGCCTTGAGTTCTGATCTTATGCCTTTCATATAGCAAGATGTGGAGATCCTAAGAAGTGAACGGGCAGGTCTTCAAGTTCACTTCTGAACATCCTGGATAAGAAGAGCTTTTCATCAACTGATGTAGGGCTCCCCAATCAAGCAATGGCCAACTTGCTACTTATCAATCCTGGGACTTTCTCTAATATCCAAACCGAGCTTTGGTGCAAATACCACATAACTGGGAGATGGTTTGAAAAAAGTTTAAGGACTTTTTGTGATTCATAGGCTCAACAGTTGTCTCCATTCCGCCCCCCCCCCCTTTTTTTGGATACATTAAGTGGCATCATGATTGCTGAAAGAAGCACATTCAGCCTTGGATAAAATGCAGAAAGGGATGTTTTATGAAGGAATGGTTTACAGAAGGGTTTAGAGTTAAAAATTCCCCGTCTTCTATTTAAAAAGAATACCGGTATTGGACAACCATGGTGTCCAATTTTCCAAAAGAGGATGAAATTGTAGTATTTTAAGCCAGCACAGCAAGAAAGAACCATACTCACCATTCCGTATTAAAAAAAGGCAAACCTGAATCAATATATTTTTTTTTTAAAAAAAATTGAAATGCATGATTTTCCCAGAAAAAAAAAAACAGCTTCAGTCTAGGTCAGTGGTTCTCAACCTTTCTAATGCCACGACACCATAATACAGTTCCCCATGTTGTGATGACCCCCAACCACTTATATATCACCAGGTGCCAGGGGCGTGGCCAAAGGGAAAAAAAATGGCGGACAGCCTTGTTTGGCGACCCCCGTGAAATGGTCGTTTGACCCCAAATGGGGTCCCGACCCACAGGTTGAGAACCACTGGTCTAGGTTCTGGGAAAAGAGGATGGCCAATATGAATGAAACTATTTGGGAATTTCAAAGAAGCACCCATGCCGATATTGAATGCTGACAAATGTTAGGAAAATAGCACTTCTTGTGAGCTTAGCCCGGCCTGGCATGTTCCTTTCGATTTAAAAAGATGTTGGTGCTTATAAACCTTTGTACCTGTATTAAAAAGAGTGTAAATAAATATTTTTCCAGCAAAAGAGTTGCACCCTGGAGTAATCAGCTGGTCAGGTCTGTCAATGAAATATATTGTGTGAAATCCCTTCCTGGGCTTGGAGGCAAACTTGCAGAACTGCCCATAACCAAGCAGCATCTTGCACACCTTAAGCCTTGTTGTGACTTATTCACAGTGGTAGCGAATGTTGGGTTTGCCAAAAAGAAATTCCTTCCCCACAACCAACACTTGACAAGAGGTGTCCCGTAATTTAAAATCCAAGCCTCTTTCTGCAATACACCCTATGGCACACGGTCCAAATTTGGTGTCCTAATTACAACTCCTGTTATTTCACCTTCCAGTGTACTTTGGTTTCACTGCAATAAGAGGCCAGCAGAGTGTCTATATCAGGGCTTTTCAACCAGTGGTACGGGTACCACCTGTGGTACATTGGCACCTGGCAAGTGGTACGCGACCATCCTAGAAAAGTGGTAGTGGGGGAGGGGAATGAGCTGAACTGGTGGCAGCACCGCACAAGCCTGAGCAAGAGATGGCTGGAGCTGCAGGGCTATCAGGCCTCAGCGGAAGCACCAGGATCAGTGCCAGGCTCCAGCTGGAGCTCAGCGCTAATCCTGGCGCTTCTGCTGAGCCCAGAAGAAGCACTGATCAGCTGGAAAGCAGCACTGATCCTGACACTTCTGCTGAACCCAGAAGCAGCACCGATCAGTGGAATGTTGCAGCATCTCCAGGGTCTTGTGATTTACATTCAGATGCTTGGCAACCGATTCATATTTATGATGGTCAGAGTGTCCCAGGGTCATGATACGTGACTAAAGCCTGTTGCAACCACCCAGTAGATGGGGGGGAATAAAAACCAAACACCCCCCCACCCCATCTCCATTGCCAATCCTCAACGAAATGCTCACAACAATGAAAACCTCGGACAGGAGGAAGAGCGCCATTGGGCACGCAGGCAGATGTCTTGTTCGGCTGTTTCTTGGGGGGCACTTTTTTCAGTGCCATTGTAACTTCAAACAGTCATTAAGCAAACTGTTGTAAGTCGAGGACTACCTGTACTTCATCACTTTTTTACTTTTTCCTTTTTTTTGGGTCATCAAGTTTTTGACACTTTGCTAGGCGACTGGTGGTACTCGGATGTTGCCATATCCTAAAAGTGGTACAATGGGTGAAAAGGTTGAAAAGCCCTGGTCTATATATGGCCCCTTCCAGATGTTTTTGAAGAGAGGATAAATTTCCCCTTAAGCATGGTTAACAGCACTTTTTCGTGCAGTTACTGATAAAAACAGGATCGCCAACATGATCGCCAACGTCCGATAACGGATATGGCACAAGAAGAAGAAGATGGTTAACAGAGCTGGAGGCCACAAGACAGGATAAGATTGCTCTAAATCATGCATTTTGATCTTTACAGTATCATTGTTTTATTCGAAAAGTGTCTACTTTAGTATATCAAAAATAGATTGCAATTCTTAGTCTATGTTGCTATAAATAGCCAGAGGTCTGGTTTTCACAAGCAGAAAAAAAAAAGTCAGTCTACAATTAAGCATATTATGACTGAATTACCTTTGCTACAAAACAGTCCCTGCACATATAAGAGTAGCTGGCATAACAGGAGAGAAAAAAAATATCCTAGGTAGAAACCTTGCCTCCACCTTTCTCAATCTGGTGCCTTCCACCCATTTCAGTTCACAATGTACATCATGATTACCATCTACGTTGGCTCCGAGGTCATTTTGAAACCTCCAGCAGACACCAGATGGACAAGGAAGAGTAAGCAGGTAAAAATAGGTAATCTTTCGAGTTTTTTCTCCAGTTGGAAGTAGTACAGCCATGCCCGAGGTTTAAATTGGTTTCTATTTCATAAAGGTCTATCTCGCCTGGCCAGATATAATTAAAAAAAAAATCACAATCTTTAATAAAAGACAAAAGATGTGCAGTATACGATCTGAAGAGAAACCAGACTATAACAAAATTAAAAATGGAAGTACATCCTTTAAAATATCGTACCGCTTCTACGGGGTAGGCTTATGGTGTGCATGTTTGACACCCAACTCGCTTTAACTACGAGTGTTAGCAGCCGTGAAACCCTGGAGCTTTACAAATACTCACGTGATCATGGGGTTGAAACAGAGAAGGAGGTCCAAGCAATGAATATTCTTTGGCAGCATCAGTTTTCCGACCAAACAGCATTTTTCTAAAGTCATGCTAATCTTTCTGCACTGCTTGAACATGTCAAGGAATAGCACACAAAAGCTTGCTGCTGATGGCAGCTAAGCCAATTCTGGGCAATTCATTTTGTAGGAGAACCAGGTTCATTGAGTTCTGTAATCTACATTTTTGAAATCTCTGGCAAATACAAGGTATAGTGAGATGTGCCTATCAATAAGAAACAGATTAATGAAAGGGCACCACTTCATTCCCTCTCATCAGCTCTTCAACAATCACAGACAGGCTCTGGAAGATGCAGCTTTTTCAAAACTTGCAGGACCGTCACCGTTGACTTCTAGATGGACCTAGAGAACCTTCTGCTTTGAATCTCAAGATCATCCTACAACGTCCACCATCCTGGGTTAACTATCATCTTGTCATTGTTCAAGTGTTCAATCTGGCTCTTCAGAACTAATCCAGACTACCTTGTTCTGCCTGAAGATTTTACAACCCCAGTTTTGCTAATGGGAGCCACCTCGTATTGTCAAGTATGAGACTATAATCTGAAATTGTGTGTTAAAAGGACCCAAAAAGATAACATTTTGTTCCTGCTTAAAAAAAAAAAAAGCATTTCCATGTTTCAAACAAATCACATTGGATTGGAGGAGAAAAGAAAGAATAAAATTGTTGGGAGGGGTGAATTGCAAACTCTTTTGGCTTCTAGGTCAAAAGAGGATGAAGTCCTTAGGCTCAGAGTTTTGCTGTCATTATGTTTCCTGTTGTGGACACAGAGATGGAGGAAGAAGCGCCTTACATGTTGATATCAACAAGGCTTGCTTGCTTATATTAAAGAGACAGCAAGCATATCTTCCACAACAAGGCACATGTGAACGTGCTTGCTTGGCACTTGCAAGCTTTAGAGAGCTTGCGTGCTCACCACTCTTCCGGCTTTGCAGATTCAGACCCACGTTCCTCTTTCGGCACAGCAGGTGTGCCATCCAGCAGATCTGCCCTCATTCGTCACCAACGGCAGCTGCGTTTTCCGAGGCCCTCACTGGAGATGGCCCGGGCAGCCGATCCGTCACTTGCACTCGCTCACTCTTGCAGGCAAACACAGCTTCAGGGTGGAACGGTCACCCAACGTCAGCATCTCTGCAACACGAGGCAAGGTTTCAGCCAACAGAAGCCAATAGGCACTTCTGCTTGGGACAGACACTTTACAAGGCCGAGCAGCCTCTGGAGCTGGGCGCTCACATCACATCAAAACCCCAGTTCTCCAATGCATAAACGGGGATTCACACATGGGGCTGAACCACAAATGAGCCACAGATGGCTTGGTGTGATGCAGAAACCCAACGTACGGAAAGCTGATCTAATAACTAGACAACCATGACCTTTTGGGTCATTGTTTCAGAGGTAAACAGAATGGAAGGAAGGAAAGCAGTCCCTGTTGCGAACGTCTCACGAGCAAAGTCAGTGGGGAAGCCAGGTCCGCTTAACGACCAGCTTACTAACTTATCAACTGCAGCGACTCGCTTAGCAACTGTAGCAAGAAAGGTCGTCAAATGGGACCGGGTTCACTTAACAAATGTCTCACTTCACAACAGAAATTTTGGACTCAACTGGGGCCGTACGTTAAGGACTACCCGTAGTACGTAGATGTAAAACACCTTCTGGATGACACATTCTCTGGTCTGGGTTTCTGGTTTCCCAGAAGGGCCAACCAAATGTCCCCAAGGCATTCTCTTGGTCTTGAAGACCACGATTTTTTTACACATCAGCTTCACCTCTCAGCCTCGGGGGCTATTTGCTCCTCGCTTACCTTCCTCTTCTGCTAGGGCTGTTTGCGGACAGCCTTGCCCTTCTCCGGATGTTGTAGCCTCTCAAGATGACGGTTGACAGAACAGAGAGTTGTCCCTAGACAGACAGAGCAGCTGAGTTATCACAAGTGTCGGGACACAGAAAAAAACCTCCAGTATGACAGGCAAGTAAGCTAACTCTGGGAAGTTGTCCTTTGTTCCAGCACCCCCCCCCCCAACCTTTTGGGCATCAGGAACCGGTTCCATGGAGAGAGGTTTTTCCACGGACTGGAGGGGGCGTGGTTTCACATGCTGCCTGCATCCCACGGATGGGGCTTTGCTTGTTGGCGTGGCCCGGTTTCTGGCCTAATGCCGGTCCATGGACCAGGAGTTGGGGATCCCTGCTTTATTCCACTATTGTCAGGTGCAAAGGTTCAGGACCATATGTTAACTTGCAATTTAGAAGGATTTATTGCTCAAGCCTATAAGCAAGAATCTAGCCAACTAAAGTTCAAATCTGAACCGGTGCCAGAACAGGGACAAAAGAATTCAAGGAGGACTGAGCTTGGATCGTTTGCAGCAATGTAAGGATTCTAAGCTGATGACACATTTAGCTCTGCCCTCCCAACTCTGCCTGCTCTTCTCCAACATCGATTTCTCTTTGACAGCAACCCGTTGGGTGTGTCAGGCTGCTGCAGTCATTTTGACCAGATTAAGGAGAAGACACGTTTTCAACAGCCTGTGTGAACCTTACCCATTTCTCCCACACACTCCTGCAAAAGAGCTGACAGCTCAGGCAGGCTAAGGGCCTTCAAGGTAGGTGACCATCCTTCGGGGCCTAAGAACGAGAAAGAAATCGGTGGCATTAATTCAAGCTAGCATTGTTCTAAAGATGAGATGGGCATGAAAGTAGCCTCTTCCCCAATTTCAGTCAAAGCAGAGCCGTGCCTTTATTTTGAAGGGGGGGAAAGAAAAAAGAAACAATTCAGCCGGTTTGCCCCAAGAAAAGTAGGAAAATATTAGAATGAATAAGATCAGGTCTTATTTTTTTTTCCCTCCAAAAGAGGCACCGGGTCTTATTTTTGGGGTAGGCCTTACCTCAACTCCAGCATCGACAGCCTCACCCAGCCAGTCCACTTCTTCTGGGGCCAAGTTCTGCAGCTACGTTTGGGCCTGAATTTTGCAGTCAAGCCTTTCCAGAAGGTCTAAGCAGCCGAGTACCGAACTATGGATTCAATCCACAGCTTGGTGCTTGGCTGCTGAGATCTTGCAGAACCCAGCTACAGATTGGATCCATAGCTTGGTTCTTGGTTGCAGAGGCCTTCCGGAAAGCCCTGTGACTGAGAAATGCAGGCCTGGCTGCAGAAGAGGCCTCAGAAGAAGAAGTGGGCCTGCAAGGAGAGGCCTGGTTGCCAGGTAAGTGGGTGTGGGGCACACAGGGCAGCTCCATCCCCCCATAGCTTGATTTTTAGGTGTGTGCCTCGCCCCAAAACTAGGGCTTATTTTGGGGATAGGGCTTATATTAAGCCCACCCCCCAAAATCGAGCCAGGGCTTATTGTTAGTGTAGGCCTTACTTTCAGGGAAACATGGTATGTGTGAGAGAAAAGAGGGTGAAGACAGCCTCTTGGTCATGGACTGAGCATCCCACTTACTGGCTCCTAGCTGTGCTCTGATCTCCGATCTCTGGTCAGCTGCCTGCTCCCAGTTGACCCGGGAATCCAGCTCTGCCTGGCAGGCCCTGAAAGGAAATCAGAACATCAAGAGGTTACTGTGGAAGGAAATCACACACAGAGAGGCAGAGCAACACAAGAAATCCTCATGGAAGGATTACAGGTAGTCCTTGACTTACAACCATTCATTTTGCCACCATTTGATATTACGATGGCACTGAAAGCAGTGACTCAGGACTGGTCCTCACCTTTACGACCACTGCAGCATTCCCCACGGTCTTGTGATCAGAATTTAAGTGCTCGGCAACCCACATGTATTTACTTAACAGCTGCAGAATCCTGGGGATTACGTGATGGCCATTTCTGACCTCTTGAAGGTTCACTCACCGCATCTGTTCCAGGAGGATCCCAGCATTTCTGGTGAAGGCCTGGACTTCTTGGAGTTGAGCCTGGGCATTGCTCCAGGCCACGTCCTGCTCCATCAGGCAACTCTCGACCACCGCTCGCAGCTCCTGCTCTTGGCTCACCTGTCCTTTCAGCCCTTTGAGTTCCTCACACCTCTGTAAGCAAAGAGAGAAAAAGGACCAGAGTCCAGTGTTTTCCATCCAACCACAGCTTTCACTCCTCAAGCTAATCTTTTCATCCGCTGGACTTCCTCAGATTTGAAGAGAAAAAGAACGAAAGGACCGGTAGTTCAATTTCCCTCTCCTGGTACTTCAGGGACTTAAACCAACGAGGCCCCCAACTGACATGTATGCATCGCAACTGGGGTGCAACAGAGCATCGTCTTCTCCCTAAGGCGCTAAGAGATTTTGGTTTTTCACCTTGTGAAGCTGAATGGCCAATTCTTGCATTTCGGCTTCTAGTCGGTCGGCATAGGCTAGCTCAAGAGCATCGCTCAGGGGTCGGGCACTGCTGTGCCACCGCGCAATGGCCGAGGTCATCTTCCTCTTTGGTCCAAAGAGCCTACAGGGGAAAGTAACCAGGAATCAGAAGGAAAGCTCCCCTCAGAGAGGTCTGCAGGCAGAGTGGCTATTGGAGAACGTGCTTTTTTTTAAAATAAAGATTTTATTGATTTTCTTTTACATACATATGTTAATTTTTCAACCAACGAGCAGTCTGAGCTCAGCTATGCTAATACATATTCAATTCCTAATCCTTCATTCTTTCCTCTAGCCAACTATAAAATAAGTCCCAAGTTTGGTAATAATTGGTGTCTTCTTTATCTTTCAATCTCATAGTTAATCTGTCCATCTCTGCGCATTCCACATTTGGTGGACGTGCGGCAAAGCAAAGGCTTATTGGGAAAAGATACATGCATGCTTAGAAAAAATATTAGGTGGTTTTAGGTTGATTTTAAAACCTGAACTTTTCTTACTAGGTATAATGCCGGAAAAGATTAATAAGCAAAGCTTATATTTGATTTTACACCTCATCACAGCAGTGAGAATAATCTTTGCGCAATATTGGAAGAATGAAGGATTAACATCAGAGGAAGAAATAATCAGAAAAATATTGGAGAACATGCTCCCACAAAGACCAGTGTCAAAGTTCCGGCTGACGATCCCAACAAAGTAAGCACAGCAGAGACATTCCAATCTCTAATGCAAAACTTTATTGAGCACAACATACTGGCACTAATGAATATAAAACCAACTCTGGCAATATGGCGCCAGAAAGATAATTGTCCAATTACTCTTTCAGCAATTTTTATGATAAAAAGATTCAATTCCTAGGCAACAGTTTATCCAATGACCTTGGGTTGCATGCCAGGCCGCTCACAGGGGCTTCAGTAATCCACACATTCCCCCTCCCCTCTGTGACTATTGGCAAGCTGAGAATTACAATTGGCTGAAGCAGAATAAATGTTTCGATGCTTGACAGCCACTTGGCACCAAGTGTGTCCAGAAAGTTGCTGCATTCAGTGACACATTAAGTTAAATGCACTACTCCCCCCCCCTTTTTTTTTTTAAATGAATGCAACCAGATTCTCTATCGGTAAGGAACATGCAGGGTCAAAACAGAAGATGTGAAGCGTTGAGCGATAGACTATCTCAGTGGTGGCGAACCCATGGCACGCGTGCCAGAGGCGGCACTTGGAGCCCTCTCTGTGGGCATACGTGCCATCGCTCCAGCCCCGCCTCCCCCCTGGATGTCCTGCTCACCAGCAGCCCCCCCGGAGAATCACCCCTAGGCGTGGCCCACACAGAGCAGTACAGCCAAGGACATGGCAGCCGGGCATCAAGGACAAGACTCCGCCCTTGTGCCCTGTTGCGTGGAGATGCTGCTGCAGGACACGGGCGGCGGATGTGGCCACCATGGTGCTGCAGGACCACTGGGCAATCTGCCGCAGGGCGTGGAGGCGGCGGGCGGCCCTGCGAGGCAGGGGGGTTGGCCGGGGCGGAGCGGGCAGGGGAGGGGGTGTGACGGGATCAGGCCAGGGGACAGGGCAGTTTTTGGACACTCAGTCTCTAAAAGGTTCATCATCACTGGGCTATCTGGAACGAAAGCTGCACGGTTCTGGGTCCACGACTCAGCATAGAAATCTGCTTACGTGATGCCGATCTCTTTTAGGTCAGTCTCCGTTAAAGTGAGGAAGATGCGGAGGTCAATGTCTTGCTCCTCAAAGACTTGCAAGTACTTCAGGCAGCCAATCTGGTTCAGGAAGGTGGCCAGATCCTACAGCCCAGGGGAAGCAAACAGATCCATCAGGAAGCTGTGTTAAAACTCAAGGGAAAAGGACTTGCACCGTTCTCTGTTCCAGCTCTATTGACAAAAGCCACACCACTCCCATCAGCTTCTGCATAAAGTCAACGCCACCTAACAGGCAGAACCATCCTCAAGCTGAGAAAGAGGTGATGTGGTGGAAGTAACTCCAAACCCCTACTCAAATGTCTAATATTCTCTGAGCAAGCTTTAGCTCGTAACTCTTGTTCAGGATATTCTACTCTACAGGGATGCAGTGAGAAGATACAGTGAGAAGAACGGAGACAGTTCCTTTCAGGAAACTGCTGGCAAAAACTGAATGTGGCAGCCACATCTGCACCTGGGTCTAGTTACAAGCACACAAGAGTAGCAACTACAGGGAGAGCTGACCAGCAACAAGGCCGTTGTAACCACTCTGTAGGATGTGTGTGTCTCTGGCTGGTCCTTGGGAATCAAACTTTTGTAGCGTTGTGAGTTTTGTGATGGAATGTCAAGTAGACTATGGGAACATGCAGGAGGGAGAACTGTCACAGGACGGAATCCTCAGTTCAGGGGAGGGAGGAAGTATGAGGAAAAATGACTCTGAATAACTCCCCTTAATTACTTTAGGTCAACAGTCCTCAACTTTAGGATTTGTGGACTTCAACTCCCAGAATTCCCTAGCCAGCATCAGAATTCTGGCAGCTGAAGTCCATACACCTTAAAATTGCCAAGGCTGAGAAACACTGTTCTAGGTATATCTTGACATGGACAATTATTTGGGCAGGTCATCAAGATTCTCTGACAACACCCAACTCCCAGAATTCCCCAGTCAGCATGATAGTTGGGGAATTCTGGGAGTTGAAGTCCACACCACCTTAAAGCCGCCAAGGTTGAGAAACATGTTCTCGGCCCTACCCTGACATGGAGAACTGTTTTGGCAGGTTCTCAAAATTCCCCCTCCAACTACCAATAAAGAGCGCTCCAGAAATCCAAAATGGGGTTCTTCTTTCCCGTATTTCCTTGCCGGTCTTGAGAGTTACCTGTGGTCCAGCACAGGAGGCGGTCTCGTCATTAGATGGGCCACAGTGTTGAGCAGATGCTTTGGCTTTCCAAGGCCAGTGAGCGTCACTGTTGCCATAGCGATTCTTGCCTTTCGTCGAACTCTTGGGATGTTTTCGGCTGGAGGATTTGGCTGCGTGGTCAGAGTCCTGCACACGTTGAGAAAGGAGGACAGGGGATCAGGCCAGCGAAGGCCATCCTCCTCAAAACCCAGGTTTGTTAAAAGATTAAGATGACAGGACCTCCTCCGTTAACAAAGGTCAATTGTTAACAACTTCAGGAGCTCCAGACGTCGTCCCTTTTTTTTTATTATCATGCGTAGAAAAAGCATCATGTGTCTTTTTGAGAAGCAGCTTCAGCCTCAGAATGCTTAAAGCTATCTAGTTTAATGAAAAGAGGCACTAGGGATGAGTAATCCTCCACTTACGACCACAATTGAGCCCAAAATGTACACTGCTAAAATTTGTTAAGCGAGCTTTGCCCCATTTTACACTTTTTCTTGCCACATTTGTTAAGCAAATCACCGCAGTTGTTAAGTTAGTAACACGGTTGTGGAAGGAATCTGGCTTTCCCCCCTTGACTTTGCTCCACAGAAGCCTGCAAAAGGGGAATCACCTGACCCCAGGACACTACAGCCGTCATAAATGTGAGTCAGATGTCAAGCATCCGAATGTAAATCACAGGACCATGGGGATGTTGCAACGGTCATAAGTGTGAAAAACGGGTCATAAGTCATTTTTTTCAGAACCGTTGTAACTTCAAACGGTCACTAAGCAAACTGTTGCAAGTCGAGGACTACCTCTATTCCAGTATTTGAGGAGCTGCCACAAAAAAGAGGGGGGGGGGGTGTCAACCTATTCTCTAAAGCACCTGAAGTCAGAGAAACAGGCCATGGATGGAAACTAATCGAGGAGAGAAGCAACTTAGAACTAAGGAGAAACTTCCTGGCCGTTAGAATAATCAGTGCAACGGCTTGCCTCCAGAACAGTGGTTCTCAACCTTTTTAATGCCGCGACCCCCCAACCGGTCGTAAGTCGAGGACTACTCAACCGGTCGTAAATCGAGGACTACTCAACTGGTGCAGCACCGTTTGCAGAATGGGACTTTTGGCGGGCTCAGCAGGGCAGAGACAGCCTGGACAATTCCTATTGGCTTTTGAAAGCCAATAGAATTAGACTCTATTCAAGAGAGTCTATTCGATAGGCTTTCAAAAGCCAATAGAATAAAAGGGAGTAGCCCAGCTAAGGAAAAGGGGGGAAAAAAATGGCGGACTGCGTTGTTTGGCGACCCCCGTGAAATGGTCATTTGACCCCAAATGGGATTCCGACCCACAGGTTGAGAACCATTGATCCAGAAGTTGTGGGTGCTCCAACACTGGCGGTTTTTAAGAGACTGGACAACCACTTGTCTGAAAGGGTGTAGGGCTTCCTGCCTGAGCAGGGGGTTGGACTAGATGACCTCCAAGGACCCTTTTCTGTTATTCATCTCTTCCACCCCAAGAATATGTATTTGTTTTCCACTTCTGTTTAAGACACCTTTAAGTCAAGCTCAGCTCCCAGTAGCTACGTGGACACAGACACAGACACACAGACACTGTTTCCTTGGCAACTAAGATAGAAATGGTCTTTTCATTCTAGTGCTGTTCTCTTCTGGTGGTCCCTCACCCAAGTACTAAACAGGCCCAGTTCTGCTTAGCTCCCAAGTCCACACAAGACCGCGCATGTGTTGCAAGTTCTCTACCTCATTGCTCTCTAAGGAGCCCTCGCTGCTGATGCCCACAGTTCTGGCCAGGCCTTCACTGCTGCTGCTGGTCTGGATAATGCCCAGGTCGTTTGTGAAGAAGAAATTCTCTTCTGAAATGGTGAGAAGTGAGAGAAAAAGACCGTTTCAGATCCATTAGAGCGGCAACCATTATATATTCAGATACTGACTGGATGTCAGAATCCAATTATATTTCATCTCTAGTTATCGACTATGGAAAACCCCATTTCTGCCCTCTCTGGATTCTGTCATACAATGAAGGGGAAGGGGGGGGGTAAACAAAGGGGCTTTATGGCCCTCACTTCCTTCGGTACAACTCCAAAAGGGACTGAATGTGGATACCACCAAAAGGACTAACCATAACAATGGGGCCATCAGCCTGGGATTGTCACTGGAAGGATGGTGGAGTGGGGTTGCTGGGAACTCCTTAAAACTTGAACCATAGGGCTTGGCCCCCAAGTCCTGTCTAGAACGCCTGCAACCATTTTCCCTTAATAAAGGATTCCAAGAGTTCTGTCTTCTTAAGATGCAAAGCGGGGAGGATCCTTACATTGACAAAACAAGGGGCAAATCTCTCCATTTTAAGTCAGTGTTCTATCTTTGATGAACTATGAACTAGGCCACAGTATTTGGAAAAATCGTGGATGTTGGCATCCTGGTGCATTCCGATTTATTCGCCAGAGGCAACTTGCGCCGAGTTTGGCATACAAGTGTCTCATCCCTTTTTCATAGGGCTTTAGATTAAACTTCAAAACGCATTGCAGGTTTTATTAAGAGACGCAAATAACAACTTTCGAGTTCTCCAGCTTTTCAACAGGTGAGATTTTATAAAACAGGGAATGAGAGAAGCAAAAGAAATGTCAGAATTAGATTATCTAAGCTATAAGGTCACAGTCATCCATAAGAATCGAAAAGCAAACTGAATCAGTTTGGTCTACTGCTTAAGATGCTGGCCTAGAAACCAGGAGACGGTGAGTTCTAGTCCTGCCACAGGCATGAAGGCCAGCTGGGTGACTTTGGGCCAATCATTAGGAGACGGTGAGTTCTAGTCCTGCTATAGGCGTGAAGGCCAGCTGGGTGACTTTGGGCCAATCATTAGGAGATGGTGAGTTCTAGTCCTGCCATAGGCATGAAAACCAGATAGGTGACTTTGGGACAGTCCCTTTCTCTCCACCCAACTCACCTCACAAGGTTGTTGTTGTGAGGAAAATAGGAAGAGTGAGGTGCATTATGGGTGCTTATCACCTTGAGTTAGAGACAGAGAGAGGGAGAGGGAGGGAGGGAAGGAATCAGGGAGAGGGATGGTGGATTGAACAGGTAGCCAATATAGACAGTGTTGGTCACAGGTCACAATCTAATTCCAGGAGCAGGAAAATGATTATTTTGCTTCAGCTCAACGAACACAAAAATCTCATAATCCTATTATAACGTCTGCCAGTCGCAACATACTCCAAAGCCCCTTAGCTCGACAGAGAACAGAAACAAAGAAGCCCAATTCATCTTTAGATTACTTATTCTGGAGCCAAATCAATGTCACGGCAACCAAACAGCCTGTATTTCAAAACAGCTCCTTCTGCCTGGAAAGGTTTTGAGAGGAATCTTAAAGACGGTCTGCACGGTCAGTCTATCCAGCCAAAGAAAGCACAGGATACCTCGACTGCTATTACTTTCCACATCTTGGTCGTTAATGGGGGAGATGACGTCTCGGTAACGAAGGTCCCCTCCCTCAAAGCCGCTTCCATCATCTTTAAAGGTGACGTAGCCTTCTGGCGGGACCTGCTCTGTGTGTAAAAGGAAGGGACAGTAAAAGGAAGGGAGGTGAACCAAGGAACGGGAAGTCCTGACCGCTGAGCAATATGGATCGTGTAAAGGTCACAAGTGGACAGACCTTGTTTACGGAACCATTTTTTATTCTGCTTTGGTGTCAGAAGGCCTCCAAGACTCCCCAAAGCTAACATGAGGCAGCATGCAACACTGTATGTGTGCTAGGGGCTGGGGACTTCTGGGAGTTGAAGTCCACACGTCTTAATGTTGCCAAGGTTGGCCATCCCTGCAATCAAGACTTTCAGAATGAGCGAATCCAGGACTTCACTCAAGTTACTTTCAGGACAACGAAAAATGGCTAGAGGGTTAAGTACCTTACAGAAGGTAGAGTTATCAGATTCTCTAGAAGAGTAAAAAAACTGGATCTTAGGAAATGATGATGAAGAATGTTATTTTTTAAAAAAATCTCTTTAGGAGCTCATCACAGCAGGATAGCCCTCCTTCCTTCCCTGTGTCCCTCAATATTAACTTAGTACAGCAATAGCACTTAGACTTATATACCGCCTTATAGTACTTTACAGCCCTCTCTAAGCGGTTTACAACATATTTGCCCCCAACAACCTGGGTCCTCATTTTACTGACCTTGGAAGGACTGAAGGCTGAGTCAACCTTGAGCCAATCAGGATTGAACTCCTGGCAGTGAGCAGAGTCAGCCTGCATGGTAACAACTGCGCCATTACGGCTTCCTTCCTTCCTTCCTTCCTTCCTTCCTTCCTTCCTTCCTTCCTTCCTTCCTAAGCAATAGCACTTATATACCGCCTCACAGTGCTTTACAGTCCCCTCTAAGTGGCTTACAGTCAGCCTCTGCCCCCAACAATCTGGGTCTTCATTTTATTGACCTTGAAAGGATGGAAGGCTGAGTCAACCTTGAACCGGTCAGGATCGAACTCCTGGTAGTGAGCAAAATCAGCCTGCATTGTAACAACTGTGCCACTATGGCTGGCTTCCTTCCTTCCTTCCTTCCTTCCTTCCTTCCTTCCTTCCTTCCTTCCTTCCTTCCTTCCTTCCTTCCTTCCTTCCTTTCCTTCCTTCGCAAGCAATAGCACAGACTTATATACCGCTTCACAGTGCTTTACAGCCCCCTCTAAGCGGCTTACAGAATCAGCATACTGCCTCCCAACAATCTGGGCCCTCACTCGGAAGGATGGAAGGCTGAGTCGATCTTGAGCCGGTCAGGATCGAACGCCTGGCAGTGAGCTAGCCTGGAATATTGCATTCTAACCACTGCGCCACCACAGCTGTAAAGATGTAAGGGCTGTAGTGGTGGCAGCCATCTAGGCAGATTCTAATGCAGAGGAGGTAAAACCGGAACTCACCATGATGCAACCGATTCTTCCCTCCAGTTCTGACCGCTGTGATCTTGGCTAAAGCATGAGGTCCTTCGTGAATGCTGGGTCCCCTGGATTTACGGGCAGGCCTTTGCCTTTGGGGAGCGCAGTAAGACTCATCCGAGGAGCTCAGATCTTCGTACTTTCCTGAGTGTCCAAAAGTACAAGCAGGGAACTTTAGGGTCTAAACGTTTATAGGTAAGCATTTTTTGTCACGAGAGAAGGATCTGGAGGAATCACCCAGCCTCTCTCCATTCGCATCACGGAGTCCCTTCTTGATCTTTGTCATGATCGTAGTTATTCCATTAGCTTATGTCAACGAAGTAGAGTTTTAGTCATTCTTTTTAAAAATATCTTATCAATAAAAGATCAAATACAAAACAAACAAAATGAAAACAAAAGCGTACATTCAACTCTAACAACAACAACAAAGGAAAAAATAGTGTGCAAAAAAATTAACTTTTAACATGTAACTGGCTGGGTGCTAAAAAAAAGCAGTAAATTCTCTTCCCTTTTACTTACACACACACGCACACACGCACGCACACACACACGTAAAAGAAGAAAAAGCAGTCAACAGGTTGAGCTAAATATTACACCAATCTTCAAATCGCTCTGTAACCTTGTTATTATATTTAGCACGTAGAAAGTCTACAAACGGTTTCCAGTCTCTTATAAAGCTGTCTAGTCCAGGGGTAGGCAACCTGGGGTCTTTTATGATTCGTGGACTTCAACTCCCAGAATTCCTGAGCCAGCCACGTTGAGGAGAAATGGAGAGGTTTCCAAGCTGAGCCATGCTGGCTCAGGAATTCTGGCAGTTGAAGTCCACGAGTCATAAAAGACCCAAGGTTGCCTACCCCTGCTCTAGTCCATTATCTCTAATCAAAACTTTGATTAGCGTTCTAGTCATTCTTGAATCGGTTTCCTGACTGGGCCGAGCTCAAAGGGTAGATTTCCGTTCACTGTTATCAACCTGGGCTTGCTTTTCAATCAGACTCTTTCCCCAAGACATTACAGCCTTTTACTCACCTGTGCCTCTGCGGAAGACTTTGGGCACGGGAGCTGTATGTAAGTCTATCAGCCCCACAATCTTCGTGTGTCCATATTTCATGGCCAACGTCCGTGCGGTGGCCCCTGTGCTGTCCCTTATGTCCACTTTCACACCCTGCGGGAAGACACACCACCTTTCACTCAATCCGTCCAGTAGAAAGGAACCCACGGAAACTAACTGGGGGCTTCTAACGTAAAGTTTTTATGTGTCCATGCTCCCATTGCAATCACCGGGAGATTAAGCATTTATTGTGAAAAGCTTCTGAAAATTAATCTGAGTTGTAAGAGCTTTATTCACACATCGTGCTCAGCCCAAAACAAAACAGCACATTATGGCTGAGCATGATGTATACACCACCACTGTTTAATAAAGGCTGGGTGGCAGGCAAAGCGCTTTGGATTTTCCTGGAAATCAAGGGTCACTCACATGGCTGAGAAGATACTGGACAATGATCTCATGGCCAGAAGCCGCTGCTTCCATCAGAGCGGAGTATCCACAAAGGGGTTCCCTGGGATAAGAGAAAGATAAAGCTCAAGGCTGGCACGATTAAAGAAGAGGCAAAGTCACGCTGGTTACAAATGCATAGAATTAAAAGGACAGGGAATTATCCCCAAAACACAGATTTCATATGATCTCACCTTCCAAGGTAAACCACGTTTATTTAAGGATCTGAATTCTGCTCTTCATTTCAAAAGACTCCTAAGTAACTAAAGTCAGTCAGCTCAACTGTGCGACTTTGGAACAGTAATTTACCTAAGGAGTTGGCAACCATGAAAATTTACTCTTCCTTCTAGCATTTTCTAATGGCCTCCATGAAAAACAGGAGGCACCGTCTCAAGTTTACTTTCTGGGCCACTAGCTAAAGCACTTAATTTATTTATTTATTAGATTTATGCCAATTTTATACAGCGAAAGGTGACAGATATCACGCTCCCACTTCCTGTTTTTCCCCACTTCTTTGTAACATGGATTGTAAATCTTGGACCACGTGACCCTGGGGATGCTGCAACGGTGGTAAGTGGGGAAATCAGTCGTAAGTCACGTTTTTCAGTGCCGCTGTAGCTTTGGACGGTCACTAAACAAACCTGCTGTAAGATGAGGATGACCTGTATTATATTTGACCATTTTCTCCTACCTGCAGTTGGCGTTGGCTCCACTGTCCAGTAAGAACTTCACCATTTGCTGATGGCCAGCACTGGTGCAGTGAAACAGGGCGGTCCAGCCGTGGACGTCTTTCGTCTCCAACTCAGCACCTTGCTTCAGAGAAAGGGAATGTTTGTGATAACATCACAGGATTACGTCACTGAAAAGTAGGCTGAAAAGTAGCTGGCTCAGGAATTCTGGGAGTTGAAGTCCACGAGTCATAAAAGAGCCAAGGTTGCCTAACCCTGGCCCTAGCGTAATTAGGGTGTTACTCTGAGTCTCTTTCTCACGTTCCCCTCCTTCCCCAATCTCTTGGACTCAGAAATCTTTTCTGTTCTGGCCCTACATCTTCTTACAACATTCCAGCTCCTTTTTCCATTTTCCCAAGCTCTGTCAGACACTCCTGCATGGCTGGTGGCCTCTCCCATAACAACTACCTGGCCCGTCAGGATGAGAATATAGGGTACAGGTCTCATTTGGTGAGACCACACAAAAAAAGGGTCTTCTCAGTGGTGGCCCCTTTACCAAACATCATTCCCCCTCAAGGGACGACTGGCCCCACCCTGTTGTTTTTCTGGAAGGCCCTAAAAACATGGTTTTGTCCATAGGTCTGGGGACCCCGAATGGAGATGGAGCTGATCAAATGGCTGATTGGATTGTGGTGTTCTTGCCAAAGGATGGGGGTGGGGAATTGGAAGGAGATGGATTATTCGAGAGTGGATTTTTTAAAAAAAATTCGTAAGCTGCCCAGAGTTCATCTGTCTGTGAGCTGGACAGCTCTGTAAATCTGTTTAATAAACAAATCCCATTCTGTTTGGTTAGTTATTTTGAGCACATCTTTCTTTGTTGTAGTCGCCACAGATTTTGACCTTGTTTCTGAACTGGGCTAGCTTTTATCAAAACCAAAAGCTAATCAGGAGTGGCACTTGCCCTGTTTAGACTGCATGACTGGTTTAATGTTTTGACAGCTGTTCGAAAGCTCACCCACCTGAAGCAAAAAAGCAGCCACACATTCGTTCCCACAGCTGGCTGCCAACATCAGCGGGGTCTGTCCTTCTGGGGTTGACATATTCACGTTTGCTCCAGCTTGTAGCAGCAGGCGCACCACGGTGTCATAACCAATATAGGAGGCGTACATCAGTGGAGTCCAGCCACCGCGGTTCGGCCGATTCAAGTCCTTCTCCCCTCTGGAAGTACACAGCATGTGAGATTTCCCCAAAGGTGGAAGACTTTCAAGCCACTGCTGTTCAGCAAAATTCTTTTAATCTCACTGCGTCCATTTTGCCCTTCTCAAGATGGCTTGCTGCAGAAGATAGAGAAGGGGGCCAGCTGTGCTCGTCTGCTTAATTTTGACAGGGGATCGGTTGCCACGGAAACAAAACAGTGGGCTGGATGGGTCTGGAAATGCTCTTCTTATGCTTGTAAGGTACTGTATACTGCTCTCGGCATTTCCTCTGATTTTCTTGACGGCCTGCTTTGGGCTGCCACTAATTTCACACAGTGCAGAATTATTTTATCTATTGGTATCCTGCTTTTGTTATTTTTAAAAACAACTCAAGGTCGCAAATGGGTGCCATGCTCTTTCTTCCTATTTTTCCTACAACACTGTGAGGTGCGTTGGTCTGAGAGTGAGTGCCTGGTTCAAAGTCACCCAGCCTAAGGCTTTCGTGTCTAAGGTGGGACTAGAACTCACCGTCTCCTGGTGACTGGCTCAAAATCACCCAGCTGACTTTCAGGCCTAAAGTGGGACTAGAATTCACTTTCTCCCAGTTTCTAGACCGATACCTTAACCACTAGAACAAACTGGCTTGTCTGAATTATCGAAACAGGGCAATGCAGGCAAATGAGGTGGCAGCATAGAGCCTCCCATTTTAGACTGGATGTGAAAAACACCATTTTCGAATGTTAAACACCCCCCCCATCCCTATTACTGACTTTCATAAAATTACTGACAGTGGGAGGTCCCTGTTAGATATTCTCTTACTGTCAGTCTCCAAAAACCAAGACAGACAAATTGTGATCTTCCAAGTAGATTTTTTTTTTATTGTTTCTCACCTACAGATTGAATCTTGCCAAACTAAAGCAAGCTACCACCCACATCAAGCACATGCTCTGGGAACTATTAGGGAGGAGCTGTCTTCACCCTCTTTCTCTCACACAAACTCTCTGCCCCGAGTTGTCTCTTGCTCCCCTGGAATGCAGCCTCTCCCTCCTGGGAATCCAGACTACGTTCCCTCCCACTTACCGTTCAATACTGTCCTTCACCACCTCATACTGGCCTATGGAAGCTGCTGTGTGGAGGTCCAAAGGTATGTCTAAGTCTTGGCGACTAGCCGCCTGGCTCTCTCCGTGCCACATGGTTAGGCTGCGATTCAAGAGCTCCGTCTCGCTGGCTTCGTCGCTCAGTTCCGACATTCTGTCCTCAGAAGCCAAAAGAAAGAAGTTTCTTGAATTTTTTTTTTAATTTCGCCAATCTACTGGAAATGCGATAACAGGGCGCCAACAATCGCAGGGCTGAAATTAAGACATCGGTACTGTTATTCGACGTTCAATGTATTTATTATAATATTAGAGAATCCTAAGGAGTGATTATCAAACTAAAAAGCAGAGACATCACCCTGCCAACAAAAATGCGTATAGTCCAGGCCATGGTTTTCCCAGTTGCAATGTATGGCTGTGAAAGTTGGACCATAAGAAAGGCTGAGCGCAAAAGAATTGAGGCCTTTGAACTGTGTGCTGGAGAAGACTCCTGCGAGTCCCTGGACTGCAAGGCGTTCAAACCGGTCAGTCCTAGAAGAGATCAACCCCGACTGCTCTTTAGAAGGCCAGATCCTGAAGTTGAAACTCAAGTACTTTGGCCACCTAATGAGAAGGAAGGACTCACTGGAAAAGGGCCTAATGCTGGGAAAGATGGAGGGCAACAGAAGAAGTGGACGACAGAGAATGAGATGGCTGGATGGAGTCACTGAAGCAGTAGGTGTGAATTTAAATAGACTCCAGAAGATGGTAGAGGACAGGAAGACCTGGAGGAACGTTGTCCATGGGGTTGCGATGGGTTGGACACAACTTCGCAATTAACAACAACAACAACAAAGGAGTGATTAGCTTTTTATCAACTACATAAGTGATTTTGCTCTCCTTGATTCATAGGAATGTTCCCTTGGACTGAAACCGGACCTGTGCTTTCAAGCAATGGTGGCACGGGGTGCATTTGCGCACTTAATCACAATAGTTCCTGAATTTGTTACACACTTTCAGAACATGTATTTATTTAAAACATTTAATATACCAGTAGCCGCCCATCTCATAAAACTCTTGATCAGCTGCCAATCAAAAACATCAATACAAGTAGTCCTCAATTTACAGCCATTCATTCAATTGATCAATTGGCTGCTACTTAGCCTCTTCATACCTATGGAAGCAGTAAGGGTATATATTTACTTTTTCACATATGGCTTCTCCATTTTGGCTTTCTTTTTGTAATATAAACGACGACATGGTGTAATATGTCGTGTGTTGTGGTTCATCTGAGGTTGCGTTTGCCTCCTTTTAAGAACTGCTTAAGGACCAGATGTTTTTTCACCATACCCCGTTACGTAAAACGAACAACAGAACAGAGGAGATGGGCAGCTGTATAAAACAAGTAAAATGAATACTGGCTCTATTCACATTTGGGAAATCACTCAAAACCTGGTCCTTTCAACAGAATTGCAATGAAATTGGGGGTTCACAAGATGGTTATACTATGTGTAGGCTGCTGGTCTTATTTACAGTACATATATGTTTTACTGGTTTTTAAATTGCTTTGCATTTTTTGTATTTGTATTATGCTGTTATAATTATTTTGATTGTTTTACTGTATTCTACCCAGAGCCACATAGGTAAGATGGGCAACTATATACAACTATTATTAAATTTATATCAAGTAAATAAAGCCGTCTATCTCATATATATGATTCTGTGTGGCATTCCAACAGGTGAAACTATAAAACAATTCAAAGAAACATTAAAACCATCATAAAACACGTTCTTCCATGATGGCAAAATCAGAATTCATTTTAGACCCCGGGACTGTTCTCTCTTTTATTGCTTTTTGGGTGTTCCTCTTGAATAAATTGTTCTAAAGGTCCACTGTGTCTCAGCCTTGGCAATTTTAAGATGAGTGGACTTCAACTCCCAGAATTCCTGAGCAGGGGGTTGGACTAGAAGACCTCCAAGGTCCCTTCCAACCTATTCTATTCTATTCTATTCTATTCTATTCTATTCCTTATTCTATTCCTTATTCTATTCCCTATTCTATTCTATTCCTTATTCTATTCCCTATTCTATTCTTACTCTACATTCTATTCTATTCTATTCTATTCTATTCCTTATTCTATTCCTTATTCTATTCCCTATTCTATTCTATTCTTACTCTACATTCTATTCCATTCTATTCTTTATTCTATTCCCTATTCTATTCTTACTCTACATTCTATTCTATTCTATTCTATTCTATTCTATTCTATTCTATTCTATTCCCTGTCCTATTCTATTCTCTATTCTATTCCCTATTTTAATCTATTCTATTCCCTATGTTAATCTATTCTATTCTATTCTAATTCTAACTCCATTCTATTATATTCTAATTTCCCCAGCCAGACTAGGGAATTCTGGGAGTTGAAAGGAGTTGGCTTCTTAAACTTGAGAAATGCCAGGATAAAGAAAACAAAAAGGCAGTGAGGCCTATCAATCTCATAGGCTGGGGCCGATGGGAGTTGTAGTCCAATTCCTGCGCCCATTCGTTCCTCAAGCGGCCCCAAAGACCCGGTCTGGCGTTGGGGGGGGGGCTGCCGGCCTCCCAAGCCTTTCGGAGCCTCTAAACAGCCCCAGCCCAGACTTTTTCCCCTCGCGGCCACCGTAGGCGCTTCACCTACCCGGCTCTCCGGCGAACGAGCGGCGACGGAACCCAGAAGAGAGGCTTTCAACCGGGTCCGCAGGCCTCGCTCTCGCCCCGCTCGCGTGACCCCACTCTTCTCCCGCCTCCTCTTACGGCTATTCGTCCTCCGTTGCGTCCGTCATCTAGCGCCGTGGCCCATTTAGCCAATGAGAGACTGGAATCGCGCTACTTGCCCGCCTCCCGAGCCAGCCAGCCAATGGGAGCCCTGAAAAGCAGAGCGGGGAGAGAAAACAACCTCCGTCTGAGTCTCGCCAGGTCCGGAAAGATAACATGAGAAGCGACCGCTTAAATAAAGAAGGAGCAGAGGAAAGAACGGACAGCGGGGTATCCTTTCTCGCATGGGTACAACCTCTTCGAAGCGTCCAGCTTTTTATTAGCTGGTCATTTTCAAGCAGGGAAGGAAGGCCACGCTAAATGGACGTTGCTGTCCTGCCAGGACCTCCCGGTGGGTGGAGCCAAAGCCGGGAAACGCACGCCGTTTGAAATGCGGTTCGGAGTTAACGGCGGTTGCGGTTCGCGGACGTTGTGCGGTTCCTCCCTTGTGGCGAGGCAGAGGGCGTGAGAACGGCTGGGCTACGCCGGTGGCCTAACAACCGGGCGGTATTCAACCGGACGGCGACTGCCGCCTCCGGTTGCTACAGACGCGCCGAAAGCTGCCCCCGTTGCTAGGAGGCGGGGCTAATTGATGGACAGTTGCCATAGTGGCCAGGCTCCTTCCTCCCTGTATCTCCCTCTTGGTTCATGGACTCCAAGCTGTTTTCCCTCTTTTGATTGCTGCAGTTGAAAGAACTATTTAATTGCTGCAATTGAAAGAACTATTTAATTGCTGCAATTGAAAGAAATATTTAATTGCTGCAATTGAAAGAAATATTTAATTGCTGCAATTGAAAGAAATATTTAATTGCTGCAATTGAAAGAAATATTTAATTGCTGCAATTGAAAGAAATATTTAATTGATGTAACTGAAACAAATTGCCTGTCTGGTCCTCAAGGGTCAAGACTGGCAAAGACCTCCAGGGAGGACCTCCCCCCCCCCAGGAGAACCTGTATCAAACATAGCATTTCTCCAGTTGGGTGTGTGCAATTTTTGCCTTGTGTCTTTAGTGCCGTGCACTGAATCCTTTCTCAATGAGTAGCCCAGGTCCCCTTCAGATGGCATCGGGGGATGGAAACAAGGAAGCAGGGAGTCCCCCTGATTTTCATGGCACTCCCCGCATCCGGTGGGGATCCCTCTTGTCTGCAATAAGAGATCAGATTCCTTCAATGGACTCTGATGCATCCTTGGTAATCCCCGTTCCTGTTCGGTTTCACTTATTTTTATTCATGCATTTATCAAATTTCTACATGTCCCATCTCACCTAAATGACTCTGATCAAGTTGTAGGAATTTATTCACCCAACAGGTTGGAGATTTGCAGAATGAGTAGTGAGGCATTTTTCAAGACCGGATTCCCTATTCCAAGACAAAATTGAGGGGGATTAGATGAAGCAGCTTCCATTCTCAAATTTCCAAACCTCCCATCTCACTTAAGTGACTCTGATCAAGTCGTAGGAATTTATTCACCCAACAGGTTGGAGATTTGCAGAATGAGTAGTGAGGCATTTTTCAAGACTGGGTTCTCTATTCCAAGATAAAATTGAAGGGGATTAGATGAAGCAGCTTCCCTTCTCTGCAAGGCAGGCTAGGATAGTCATAGAAATTCAAGAGGAAGCTCTGTATTGTAAAAGTTGAGTTTAATGTTTTGTCCCAAGGGCATACATCCGTAAACATATTTTTTAATGTTATTAAATTAATGTATTGTTTGCTGTAATTTATACAGTCCTATTTTATTTTTAAAGGTCCTTTCTAGTGAAATGCTATAGATGCTGAGATTCTGGTTTAACCCTGGAAATTGTGGGTGCTCCATCATTGGAAGTTTTCAAGAAGAGACTAGATCGCCATTTTTCTGGAATGGGATAGGGCAACAGTGTCCAACCTTGGCAACTTTAAGACTTAATAATAATTTTAATAGGATCTCCTGCTGAGCAGGGGGTTGGACTAGAAGACTTCCAAAGTCCCTTCCAGCTCTATTCTGATTGATTGACTGACTTGTGGACTTCAAAGGCCAGAATTCCCCATGGCTGGCTGAGGAATTCTGGGAGTTGAAATCCACAGGTCTGCTGTGGTTGGACACCCATGGTATATAGCAGTGGTTCTCAACCTTTTAAATGCCGCGACCCCCAACCGGTCGTAAGTCGAGGACTACTCAACCGATCGTAAGTCGAGGACTACTCAACTGGTGCAGCCCCGTTTGCAGAATGGGACTTTTGGCGGGCTCAGCAGGGCAGAGACAGCCTGGACAATTCCTATTGGCTTTTGAAAGCCAATAGAATTAAACTCTATTCAAGAGAGTCTATTCTATTGGCTTTCAAAAGCCAATAGAATAAAAGGGAGTAGCACAGCTAAGGAAAAGGGGAAAAAAATGGCGGACTTTGTTGTTTGGCGACCCCCGTGAAATGGTTGTTCGACCCCAAATGGGGTCCTGACCCACAGGTTGAGAACCACTGGTATATAGGATCTCCTTGAGATTGGACTAGAAGACGTAAAAGATTCCTTCCAACCTTATGATGTTATGTTTACCTTCTATTATTTCTTCCAAGTAAAAGCTTACGTTTACAATTTTATGTTTACAATTTTATGCTTATGTTTACCATTTTATCTCCAAAAGAAACAGTAGGCGTCAGTCTTGTTTTCTGTTGTTGTTGCCTTTTAACAACTTTCATCCAGTTTCTACTGCTTACATGACAGGCTGAGAGCGATGAAGATGGAGAACTCTTTCTCTTCCAACGAGATCAGTCCAACTTGATTCCGGACCTGACCGAAGAATTAGAAGATCTTCCACTGGAAGAATCATACTTGCAGGTCACTGATTCTAATTATCTGGTTATTCTGTCTGGTTGTATTTAACCTAGAATTATTAAGGCTTGGTTGGGCCAACCAGCGAGTTGTTAAAGCCTTAAATAAGAGAGCTTTTTAAAATTTACTTAAAGAGCTGCCCTGGCTGAGGTTTTGTACAAAATTCTTTGGCTGCAGTTTCAAAACTTACTCGACTCACTGTGCTGGACCATTTTCTAGATAAGCACAGAACACTGAGGCATAAACCAACAAAAGGGCTGGTTTTGCACAATGAGCTAATCACAGCGACAAACATCACCAAGGGTAACGCCACCCAAGCATTACACCTTGTGCAAATGCAGCTGCTAGAGCTAGAACTTTAACTTACCCGGTTAAGTTGTTGTATAAACATTGTCTTTGTGGGCGGCGTGGGCACATGCAACAACTGGGCACAGTTTTTGCCTCAACGTTTTTAATTTTTAAAATTTTTCAAATCGCAAGTAGTCCTCAATTTACAACCATTTGTTTAGCAACTGTTATGTGCTCCTGGCTACCTTCCTTCCTGACCAGTGGCAAGCTCCCCTGATCAATAAGCAGCCAAGACACAATTAACACCTCCTTGTTTCGTTTATTACAATAAGCGGGGAGAGACGCTATCAAAGGTTAGTTCTCTCCAAAGTTCATCATCTCAAATCAACATCTTTATATATTCCTTACACCGGCTGCCCATCCCTCTTCATTCCCCATTGGCTGAGATACTAGGAAGTTACATTCTCTCTGACCGGCTTCCACATATTTCCTGCTACCCTCCCTGAACATACTAAGTCATACATTGCATGTGCATTATAATTAGGAAATAATATATGCAAGGTGTATCAGCTAATACTCAATAGTCTATTGAGCATGCTCTGTTAGCTTGTTTTTGAATTCTGGGGTATTTTATGGTCTCTTAGAACATAAAATTTCCTGTTACTCAGTTTTAGTTTTGCCTTTCCTGTTGTCCAATTCTTTTAGTTTTTCCTTTCCTGTTATCCAATTTGGTTTTATCTTTCAGCTAGGTATTTCCTCTTACAGCTATTTCCTCTTACAATACTAAATTTTTCTTACAATATTAAATTTTGAAGACCATTCACTTAATCCTATCAGCGACCATTTGAAATTAAATAGGATTGAAAAAAAGGATTTACCACCAGTCCTCACACTTATGAACATCACAGCATCCCCATAGTCACACGATCAAAATTCAGACACTTGGCAACTGGCCCATCTTTATGATGCTTGCAGCATCCCAGGGTCACGTGATCGCCACTTGTGACCTTCCCCGCTGCTTCTGACAAAATCAACGGGGGAAGCCGGATTTGCTTAACAACTGCACAATTCACTTAACAAGTTCAGCAATTCAGTTAACAACCATGACAAGAAAGTCTGTGCAGTCGGATGTGATTCACTTTCGCCTTGCTTAGCAACGGAATTTCTGATCCCGCTAATTGTTATAAGTCGAGGAGTATCCATACTGTTTATGGTAGGGATAGGCAACCTTGGCTCTTTTATGACTGGTGGACTTCAACTCCCAGAATTCCTGAGCCAGCCATGCTGAGGGGAAAGAGAGAGGTTTCCAAGCTGAGCCATGCTGGCTCAGGAATTCTGGGAGTTGAAGTCCACAAGTCATAAAAGAGCCAAGGTTGCCTACCCCTGGTTTATGGCAGTGTAACCGGTGTTTCTTCTGAATTTTTAGGAAAACTTTTCCTTCATGAGACGTCCTCAGACTATCTGGAATGAAGATCTGAGAAGTTCAGCTTTTCAGAATGAAGGGATCCCTCCGTCCGAATCGAGGGGGGACCTCTTGCTTGACCTCAGATCTCAAAATGAAGAAGAGCCAAGCCAAGATGCCATTAGTTCTTTGGAATTCTCCATCAACGAGCATCAGTTTGATGAGGGTATTTCAAGAGACATGACCGGAAAAATGTGGGATCTTGAGAAAGAGAAGGACACTCCAGATCCATCACCTGGCATGATAACAGCCAAGGAAACACCACCTTTGTTGATGTCAGATAGTAGTCAGGAGGAGCGGAGAAAGCTCATTGAAACCAAGATCCTTTCCAAAGCACCGTTGAGACCTCTTTCTGACCTCGGTTATCCAGAACCCCAAAATAAAAACAACGTAGGAAGAATGGCAGAGGTCAAAAAGGAGGAGGCAGTTATTTCAGCTGAACATCCCCAGGAACTGACACTCTTTCGCTTCAAGGTATGGATCGGAATAGGATCTTATCTGCCTCTGTAAGGGAGTCCCTGACTTATGATCATTCGTTTAACGACAGTTTGGCGTTATGATGGCGCTGAAAAAAGTGACTTAGGACTCGCCCTCAAAGTTACGACTGTTGCACAACTTCTGCGGTTATATGCTAACATGTTAGTTAAGTTCTTCGCATCTCTAGGGAGGACCAGAAAAATTCTTTGTGGAAATACTAAGGAATGCCACTAGCAATAGTAATAGCACTTAGACTTATATATTGCTTCACAGTGCTTTACAGCCCCCTTCTAAGCGGTTCACAGAGTCAGCCTATCACCCCCAACAATCAGGGTCCTCACATTACCCACCTTGGAATGATGGAAGGCTAAGTCAGCCTTGAGCCAGTCAGGATCAAACTCCTGGCAGTCAGCAGAGTTAGCCTGCAGTACTGCCTTCTAACCACTGCGCCACCATGGCTCACTAACCAAGAGCAATAGGACCAAGCTAGATGGTCTAGTCTAGGGGTGGGCAACAATAGCTCCTTTACGATCTGTGGACTTCAACTCCCAGAATTCTTGAACTAGCCATGCTCAGTCAAAGTTGGTCCACAGGTCATGAAGGGGCCATAGTTGACATCGAGATGGTGATGGCACAATGGCCCTAGGTGCCGATTAATTACAAGGCATGAATGTATTTGTGTACTAGCAGAGCAATGTAATATTTCTTTATGCAGGAAGAGAAATGTGAGTGGCTAAGCCAGGTCCCCAAAGCTTCAAACATGCCCCAAAGCTGGAACTTTCCTTTGACCTAATTCTAGCAAAACTATGTCTACTTTTGAACTGTAAATAGTCCTCTTTCCGAGCTCATGAACTTAGCCTGTTTACTGAATATTTCTTGGACATAATAAATTTATTGAAGGTTGCAGTGCACATCACCCTGTAGCCGAAGTGGATTTAGGCATAATTGGTCAAGTTTCATTGGGAAAAAAAGGCTTTAAATATAATTTCTGTGGATTTGCCATCTTCACCTCTTCCCCCACTTTGCAATCCGTGAATCTCTGGGGTCCTTGCCAAGTCACAGTTAGCTCCAGCCTGATGTGACTAGTGAAGCTGGAGCATCTGATTAAGGGCCAATAAAAATAAAACAGCATCTTTGCTGTTTTAGAACAGCGCTGATTTGGGGTGGGGTTAGGGTGGCCTTCCATTTCTTAGAGCTTCAGCAACCAGGAACCACGTGATGGCCTTTTTTTGTTTCTGCTTTTAAGAGGCAACAAATAGATGGGAGTTTACAATGGAAACAACATTAGCTTTGATCGCCAACAGTGTCTGAATCAGAATGAAAGGCTTACATTTACATATTTGTTGCCATTGCGATGCTATTCAGCAGTAATTGGCAGTTTATGTCTTCAGAATGATGCACAATTGCTATTGTGGTCCTGAAGCTGTCAGTTTGTAACACTGATGTGAAAGAAACAGCAACACGCACATCTCTAACTGTTCGTATTTTGAAACTTGGCACTTATATTATCTTTTTCAATATATAGTTTGGGAGCAAATGTTTGGAAAGACAGACGGAATCTCATTGAATAGCCTGATAGCTTGGATGGGTCCATATGCATTTTATAGCGCAATCAAAAGTGGACGATTTTTGAAAATGTTCCTGGTATAAAAAGTGTTATGTTGATGGCAAAAAGCAGCTAAATTGTTAATGTTGCACTTACGGAAAATAAAATTGGATGGATTCAGGCACAAGGACAATTTGCAATGGCCCAAAGAGAAGCTGTTATAAAGCTTAATAAAAATGAATAAGCGTCATAATGTTTTACATTAGATAGACATGACTTACAGATTGCGCCAGTTAAATCTTTTATCATTGGTTATACATCTCGTGTTGAAACAATATACGTTTTGCATCACAGGAGCTCTTTACCACAGGTCTACAGAACAACTATTTAAACTTAACTTTTAAGTGGTCCTGATCAGGGCTATGCAGTACTTTGCATTTGACTTCCAAAAGGTAGCTTGGGAAACATTGGGGCATTTTCCTGGGAAAAAACAGATTTGGTTTAAAGTCACAAGAAAGTACAAATGGGTACTCCAAAGAAACTTTTGGAGTTTGAATCCAGTGAATAATGAATAATTTTTATTCCTTCACAAACTGTCCTCCTTCCAGGATATTGAGAAATGGGATCTAGACAATATTCTGCAGAAGTTGGAGAAGCAAAATAAGGCTACAAGCTGGCCAGGGGAAGCTGGATCTCCTTCACTAAGCCATGGTGAGTTCACAAAACATTAGAACTCAGCTAAATCTGCAACAGTCAGTGGAAATGCAGCTGACTATTCAAAGGGACACGATGTTCAGATGTTCAGGTAACGCTTGAATAGTTATCCCTCGTGTAATGTATTCAGATTCTTCTTGATTATTTTATCTTCCCCAATCTGATGCCCTCAAGGTAAAATTCAACTTCAGCTCCCATAATCTTAGGTAAGCTGCCTTTACTGGATAGGGATTATGGGAACTGAATCCCATTGTTAATACAGATAGTCCTTGACTTACAACAGTTTGAACGGTGTCCGTTCAAAGTTACAACGGCACTGAAAAAAGTGACCTATGACCATTGTTCACACTTACAACCGTTGCAGTATCCCCCACAGTCACGTAAGTCAGATGTTTGGCAACTGACTCATATTTATGACGGTTGCAGTGTCCCAGGGTCATGTGATCACTTTTCTAACAAGCAACTTCAGTAGGGAAGTCAGGCTCACTTAACAACCATGTTGTTAAATCACTGCAGTGATTCATCTAACAACTGTTGCAAGAAAGGCCATAAAAGGGGGCAAAACTCACTTAACAAATGTCTCACTTAGCAACAGAAATTTTGGGGTCAATTGTGGTTGTAAGTTGAGGACTACCTGTACAACTGTTTAGTGGAGGCTATTCCCAGCATTATGCATCTTTCAAGCGTACCGTATTTCTCCCAGAATAAGACCAAGTATTATATTCGTTTTTGCTCCAAAAGACGCATTAGGGCAGTGATGGCGAACCTTTTAGAGACTGAGTGCCCAAACTGCAACCCAAAACCCACTTATGCATCGTCGGGTGCCCGGTGGGCGTGTCCCATTGGGTGGGTGTGGCCAGGTGGGCATGGCCCATTGGGTGGGTGTGGCTGCGGTGGTAACGGCAGACTGGGTGGGACTAAAAAGTTCGATCAATCAATTCCAACTTTGCGAGATCTTTTTTTTTCCCGTGAGAAGTTAAAATTGATTGATTGAACCTTTTTTTTTTTTGCACATGATGGCGGAGGCCTAAAGCAAAAAGGTTTTTTAAAACCCAGCTGAAGGCCTAGAACTGGGGCGATGGCGCGCGTGCCCACAGAGAGGGCTCTGTGTGCCACCTGTGACACACGTGCCATAGGTTCGCCACCACAGCATTAGGGCTTATTTCCCAGTTAGATTTTATATTCAGGGAAATATGGTACTAAATACTAAATTGTCTGGCTGACAATCTTCACTGGGGCTTATTTTTGGGTGGGGCTTATATCACGAGCATCCTGAAAAATCATGCTAGGGTTTATTTTCCCGGTTAGGTCTTATTTTCGGAGAAACACGATATAAAGATTTTGGAAACTTGACTTCTGCAATATAATTTTACCTATGACTCTACAACAGGGGTGTCAAACTGCCAGCCCATGGGCCGGACACGTCACACGGAAGCCGTGCCCCCTCCACTGCCAGCAATGGCAAAACCGTCCTAATACGTTGCGCGACATCACATGATGTCACGAGTTTGACATGTCTGCTCTAGAACAAACCAGTAGTAGGCTGAAGGCTGTTAACATTGGCATAATTTTTCTCCCCAGTTCTCAGCTCTTAAATAGCAGGTGTGATTCTGTTCCGAAAGAACTTTCTTTTTTTCTTTGAGTGAGATAGCTTTGTCCTAATACCTTCCTGTAAATAAGAATAGAAAAATGCTCTGTAAATGAGTGAGTAATCCATACTGCTTTCCTGATGGACTAGACCAGTGGTTCTCAACCTGTGGGTTGGGACCCCATTTGGGGTCGAACGACCATTTCACGGGGGTCGCCAAACAACACAGTCCACCATTTTTTCCCCCTTTTCCTTAGCTGTGCTACTCCCTTTTATTCTATTGGCTTTTGAAAGTCAATAGAATAGACTCTCTTGAATAGAGTCTAATTCTATTGGTTTTCAACAGCCAACAGGAATTGTCCAGGCTGTCTCTGCTCTGTTGAGCCCACCAAGAGTCCCATTCTGCAAACGGGGCTGCACCAGTTGAGTAGTCCTCGACTTACGACCAGTTGAGTAGTCCTCGACTTATGACTGGTTGGGGGTCGCGGTATTAAAAAGGTTGAGAACCACTGGGCTAGACTAAAGATATTGACATTTCTTTTCCCACCAAGATTAAGTAGTTCTTTTTTTCCCCCATCTCCAGAACACTTCAGGGCTGTGACCCAATCGAAGCTGATGGCCAAACTAGAGGAATTGTCTCGTAAGCAGTCGAAGGCATTTCTCTCCCGCTGGCAGAGATGCCCTCCCAATCCCCCCGCCCACGACAAAAGCCAGGGAGATGCGAGGTACGATGCTTCGGTAGCCTTGATGGAGCAGGAGAGGGGAACTTCTCTAAGTAATGTTTTCAGGAACTAGGAGTTTTTTTGATTAACGTTTCTACTTTTTTTTATTCTAATCTTTAGTCACTTGTAACATAAAATGCGAAGATACACAGGGAAGAAAGGTAGGGGAAAGAGGAAAAAGAGAAATGTGGAAAGGGGGTGGGAAGAAAAAAAAAGTCGTTGACTTCCGACTCCCTCTGTTGCAGTAAAATAAGGCGTTAACATCGAAACTCAACTTTTTATCTTTCTGTAATAGTACGAACTAGCCCTTTCTACGTCAACAAATCAACCTAATCGGTAAAACCCAAAATCAAAGTATCATTTTTTTTTTCCTCCTCAAGCACAAAGTCCAGAAGCGGTTTCCAAGTAGAAACAAAAGTACTTACATTCTTTTCTTTTATCAAAAGAGTCAGCAAAGTGAACAAAGTGACCCCTTCTCTTCCTTGTGGCAGCCCCTCAGATACTGTTTAATGACCGTTCCAAGTTACTACAGCAGGGCTTTTCAACCAGTGGTATGGGTACCACCTGTGGTACATTGGCACCTGGCAGGTGGTACGCGACCATCCTAGAAAAGTGGTAGCGGGGGAGGGGAATGAGCTGAACCGGTGGCAGCACCGCACAAGCCTGAGCGAGAGATGGCTGGAGCTGCAGGGCTGCCAGGGCTCAGCGGAAACGCCAGGATCAGTGCCGCTTTCCAGCTGATCGGTGCTTCTTTGGGGCTGTCAGTGGAAGCGCCAGAATCAGTGCCAGGCTCCAGCTGGAGCTCGGCGCTGATCCTGGCCCTTCTGCTGAGCCCTGAAGAAGCGCCAATCAGCTGGAAAGCAGCACTGATCCTGGTGCTTCGGCTGAGCCCAGAAGAAACGCCGATCAGCTGGAATGTTGCAGCCTCTCCAGGGTCTTGTGATTTACATTCAGATGCTTGGCAACTGATTCATATTTATGACGGTCAGAGTGTCCCAGGGTCATGTGAATTGACCAAAACCTGCTGCAACTACCCATCAGACCGGGGGAATAAAAACCCCCCACCCCACCCCCACTGCCAATCCTCAACAGAAATGCTCACAACAATGAAAACCTCGGACAGGAGGAGGAGTGCCGCCGGGCGGGCAGGCAGGCAGGTGTCTTGCTCAGCTGTGACCCCTGCTCCAAAGGGTTGGAAATGATGACGTCAATCCAGCTTTCAACTTACATTATACTGGCTCAGTTTTGAACAAATTGTATAGGAAGATGCTAGTTTGGCCTGGGCGCTCAACGACTGTCGAAATAATTACTGTGAAAGTATCGCAAAATAGACATTGCAAAAGTGAATGTCATTTCTGCTTTCAGAGACACTCCTGGCCCAGCACCAATAAAAAATGATTTGAGTCGGATTCCAGCAGCGTTTTGTGTTCCAGAGCCCCCAACTGTATATATTGATTTAAGGGACTCCGTATCTGAAAAGGTCGACTCTTTGACTGATGAAACACAGAGGTATTTAGCAGTGTGTTGTTCTGCAGTTATCGTGAGACCTTGAAGAGGTTTTTGTGTCATCTAAGATCAGAGTTGCAAGGGGCGGGTGGAGAACCTCTGCCTCAAGACAAAGCTGGCCAAACCCTAAATTTGATTCCTTTGCTTTCAAATGGAGACTTGATTAAAAAGAAAAACATAGGAAGTTATGTTTCAATAGAGCAGATACGGCTAAAATTTAGAAAGGCGAGCAAAGGCACCACGGGCCCCAGAGGGAATGAATCCATATCGAAGATACGAAAATTAAACGTTAAAAAGTATGAATGCCACTGCTGTGTTCATATCATTAAATAATTGATTCAAAGAGTTTGGGGGGGGGGAAATCTCAGAAATGATCTATTTTAAACCCCTGCTCGGTGTGTGTGAGGTGGTTTTCGTCAACCCTAGGGGTGAACAATAGCCTGAAAATAGAAGAGAGGAGATTTATAGATTTAGAATACCACAATTATACCATTTAAAAGCAGAATTCCTTAGAGGTGCATGCCTAAGTGATCGATTGGAGACTGCCTCTAATAAAATAGTTGTAGGATTATTCTGTTAAGCGCGTCATTAATTAGCAGTAATTTCTATTTCTTTTTTTCCATTTCCCTTTTTCATCTTGTTTTACCCTATTTTGATTCGGGTGTATTGACAGCACAGCAGAATGAACCCCCCCCCCCAACAAATCTTGAAAGATTTTCCCCCCCACAAAGATTTTCCCCCCCACAAATCTTGAAAGATTTTCCTTCTGAAAGAGTGACTAATTCTTTTTCTTAAATATTATCCAAGCCTTATGCTTCCTTCAGTGTCTCAGCAGGTCACCTGCATTTCGGTGAAATGCAGATTGATCAACATTTAATTGATTGATCCACCAAGAAGCATATGATTCAGCAATGAAATGAATTTGCAGGCATACGCCCAGGACTGCTGGGAATTCAGTTCCACTCTCTGAATTGAAAGAGACCGTTGACCCCTTCCTTGCTCAGGCCAGGGACCCAAATTAGAGCCCCCCCCCCAAGAGTTGGAGATCCAGCCTCAGCTTGAAGAGTTGCAGGGAAGCAGCTGGTTCCATTGTCAAAGTACGCTTAAAAGTTAGGATCTACCGGCTAACAAGTACCCTAGCTTTGCTCTCCCAAGACATCATAGCATTGACTTCTCACAAACTGTTTTCATTTATTTATTTATTTATATCCCACCCTTATTATTTTTACAAATAACTCAAGGTGGGAAACATACATAATTCTCCTTCCTCCTCCTACTTTCCGCACAACAACCCTGTGAGGCAGATTGGGCTGAGTGATTGGCCCAAAGTCACTAGCTGGCTTTCATGCCTAAGGCAGGACTAGGACTCCCAGTCTCCTGCTGATTGGCCCAAAGTCACCCAGCTGGCTTTCATACCTAAGGCGGGACTAGAACTCACGGTCTCTTGGTTTCTAGCCTGGACCAAATTGGCTTGTATTCCAATAACGCAGGATATGTGCATGCTAGGCTGCATAATCTCCCAGGATCAAAGGTACAAGTGAAGAGAATGGGACCAAATTATATAATACCACCTAGTGATTGAATGGAAGGGGGGGGGTATCAAATTAAACTTTTGTTTTGTCCCTAAATGTTGGGCAAAACTTGAATTGATTGTGCCTGTTACTGAAACATTTATTCAGACCCCAACATAAGTCTGAGCAGCACAAGATTTGTCTGCAACATCTGTCTTATTTTGGGGATGATTATTCTTCTTCCCAGTCCCTGCTTTTTGTAATATCCAACGAAAAGCTCTGGAAAACCTGAAAGTTTGCACAGTTTTAAGTTAGTCTAATTGGTTCTGATAAAGATACTATCCCAACGGTGAATTTTGATTTTGATTTTTTTTTTTAAATGGATCAATACGGACTATAATTTCCTCTTTTGTTTGGGGGTAATCTAAAAGCACAACATGAAAGCACGTTTGCCTATTAAGCCCATCTCTCAGAGGCTCCCTGTCAGGTAATGTGAAACATTAAAAAAATAAATAAAAATCTGAACTGTAGGGTAGATTCTTTGAGACAGGACTAAAAGCAGCTCCTTTGAATTCTGAAATAGTTGCTTTTTACCGAGCTGATGAAAGCTCTTGAGAAATGGATTGTTTACTTTGTACTTGAGAGCAGGACGCTCCCTTGATGCTTTTCAAGGATTATCCCTATCAGGTCTGTAGCTGTTGCTCTGCTGGGTGGCCATTGGTAGTAGTAGTAGTACAGAGCAGTGAGATCCCCTTCTCATATTTCAGCTTGAGTGACAGCTCCTCTGATGACGAAGAAGATAGAAAAGGGACAACCCAAAACAAAGAAGAAGGAATGATGGATGAGTTGTCTTCGGCATCACGGTATAGGTGAGCGATGGTCCAGTGTTCATGACATAAATGAGCTTTTGCAATCGTACGGGAAACTAGTTGATTCAATACCTAAACCAGGGGTCTTCAAACTTGGCCCTTTTATGACGTGTGGACTTCAATTCCCAGAATTCCTCAGCCAGGCACACTGGCTGAGTAATTCTGGGAATTCAAGTCCACAAGTCATAAAAGGGTCATAGTTCCCTCATGCTGGATGGACTTCTGGGAGTTGAAGTCCACACGTCATAAAAGGGCCAAGTTAGAAGACCCCTGACCTAAACAAATAGAGGTAGTCCTCAATTTACAATCATTTGTTCAGTGAGACTGTTCGAAGTTACAACGGCACTAAAAAAGTTGCCAAAGGCTGGTTTTCATACTTAACAACTGTTGCAGTATCCCCATGGTCACATGACCGGCATGTATTTATGACAGTTGCACTGACTTGGGAGTTGCGTGATCACCATTTGAAATAGCAATAGCCATTTAGACTTATATGTTGCTTCACACTGCTTTACAATCCTCTCTTAAGTGGTTTTACAGAGTCAGCCGTTGCCCTCTCCCAACAATCTGGGTCTTCATTTTACCCACCTCGGAAGGCTGGAAGGCTGAGTCAACCTTGAGTCGGTCAGGATCAAACTTCTGACTGTGTGCAGAGTCAGCCTGTAATGCTATATTCCATCCACTGCACCACCAGAGCTCCATAACTTTCCCAGCTGGCTTCTGACAAGGAAAGCCAATGGGGGAAGCCAGATTTGCTTAATGATCACAATAGGCACTTAATAACTGCAGTGATTCACTTAACAACCATGACAAAAAAGTTGTAAAATGGGGAAACAACTCACTTAACAACTGACTTGCTTAGCAACCAACATCTTGGCTTGATTGTGGTTGTAAGTCAAGGACCATCTGTCCCTTGACTTTGTGTGCCTGTGCACGCGCACACACACACACACACACACACACACACACACACGCAGAGTCACCACACATACGGATGCACACATGGACACACAAAACACCTGCAGTTGTTCCTACATTTTTCCTGGTTGTCAATTTGCTCTTAAACGTACCCTTGATTGAACGCTTAGTAAGTTTTGTGAATTAGGTCAAAAAGTCTGTTTCTTTTTTTTTTAGTATTTTTTTGTTAGTTTATAACATATAATACAAAACTACAAAAGAAAATAGTAGGAAAATAGGGGAGGAGAAAGGGAACGGAAAAGTATGGGGCAGTAGAATAAGATAATAACCTCAAACCTCAACTTTTTACTTTCACATAATAATATAAACTAGCCATTTCTAAAACAAAAAAAAACCTATTAATCGGTAAACCCTAAAATCAAAGTTTCATTTTTTCCCCACCTCAAGCAGAAAGCCCAGAAGCGGTTTCCAAATAGAAACAAAAGTAATTACATTTTTTTTTCTTTCATCAAAGCAGTCGAATTCGGTCAAAAAGTCTTGATTAATCAACTGTGATAAGGTCCACAAGCTGAGTGCAGTTTGTGAGCCTAGCCCAGTGGTGGCGAACCTATGGCACGGGTGCCAGTGGTGGCACTCGGAGCCCTCTCTGTGGGCACGTGCACCATCACCCCAGTCCTAGGCCTTCAGCTGGGTTTTATAAAACCTTTTTGCTTTAGGCCTCCGCCGCCGTGTGCAAAAAAAAAAAAAAAGTTCAATCAATCAGTCAATTTCAACTTCTCGCGGGGAAAAAAAAAGATCTCGCAAAGTTGGAATTGATTGATTGAACTTTTTAGTCCCACCCAGTCTGCCGTTACCACCGCAGCCACGCCCACCCAATTGGCCACACCCAGCCAATGGGCCACACCCACCCGGCACTCAACAATGCATAAGTGGGTTTTGGGTTGCAGTTTGGGCACTCAGTCTCTAAAAGGTTTGCCATCACTGGCCTAGCCAAAACATCTGTAGTTGGCTTAATCAAATCTTTTACTCGTCCTTTAAAAATCCCTTTAACTTGCAAACTATAGCTTTGCGTGACATGTGAATTAAAACACATTGCTGGTTTAACTTGATGTATACATCCAACGGGCTACCTGAGCCGAAGCATTCTCTCTATCTCCCTCTCTCTTCTAGCAAAAATTGCACTGGGAAATGTTTCCTCCTGCAACAGCTCCGAAGCGTTCGAAAAAGGATGTCTCAGTCATCGGCTACTGAACCGAACAGAAGGAGCCAAAATCTCCAAAAACCCGACGGAACCAATCTGCTGAATGTCAGAGAAAGGCAGAGTTTGAAACACAGTGGCCAGTCCTTCATGATGGCAGAAAAAATGGACTCCAGTACAAGGAGTCCCCTTCTCATTGACAGCGCTAAGGGAGCAGCTAAGCCTTCTGGAGAATTCCAGAAAGAAACCAAGGAAGAGATTTGTTCAGAATTGCCTCCAGAGGCTTCTGCAAAGAAAGATGCCAAAGACCCAAGGTATTGCATGAAAAATCTGAGGGAGACTGCTGGTCTAGAAATAATAGTAATAATAATAATAGTCATAGTCATAGTAGTAGTAGTGATAATAAAGTTGGAAGGGACCTTGGAGGTCATTGAGTCCAGCCCCCTGCTCAGGCAGGAAACCCTATACCATTTCGGACAAATGGCCCTCCAGTCTCTTTTAAAAACTTCCAGTGTTGGAGCATTCACCGCTTCTGGAGGCAGGTTGTTCCACTGGTTAATTGTTCTCACTGTCAGGAAATTTCTCCTTAGTTCTAGGTTGCTTCTCTCCTTGATTAGTTTCCAGCCATTGCTCCTTGTCCTGAAATATAGACAAACATGAAATATGGATAATATAAAAAGCTTGAAATGTGATTTATTTGCCGTATACTTTTTTTCCTCCAAAAATTCAAGAGAGTAGAACACCCCTTCCCCTTTTTAGTTCTGTTGCCAGTTGAGATCACTCATGCTGAACTATACCGGGATTTGATTTACCTTTGCATGTAACACAAATCTAAAGAAGATAAGGATAAATGATACTACTACAACCATTCTACATGAGTAAATACACATAGACATATTACATTTATTTGCCACCCATCTTGCCACAAGGTGACAGTCGTTGTTGTTTCAAAGTCACGATCCGGGTCTCAGCATGAAATAGCCAGGTATGGTTTAACCACTTAAACCTTGTTAGACAAATCATGGCTTTAGTATATCCAGTTGCAGTCAGTGGTCTGGAAAGCTTCCAAGCCAATCTGAATCTGGGCCTCTTCATCAGTTTGAACCCAGGGCTCCAATAATTACGTGCTGCTGCTGGCTATTGGCAATCATAAATAATGTATTTGTTACAATTTATAATGAATATCCCTTTGGACCCGGCTGTCTATGAAATCTGAATAAAGGAACGAATGGCTAAATAATACAAAGCTTCTATACATTTTCAGATTACGTTTGCCTTCACTGCACAAAGTAGTTTTTTTTCTAAAAGACGTAAGTCAGGGGTTCTCAACCTTTTTAATGCCGCGACCCCCAACCGGTCGTAAGTCGAGGACTACTCAACTGGTGCAGCACCGTTTGCAGAATGGGACTTTTGATGGGCTCAGCAGGGCAGAGGCAGCCTGGACAATTCCTATTGGCTTTTGAAAGCCAATAGAATTAGACTCTATTCAAGAGAGTCTATTCTATTGGCTTTCAAAAGCCAATAGAATAAAAGGGAGTAGCACAGCTAAGGAAAAGGGGGAAAAAAATGGCGGACTGCGTTGTTTGGCGACCCCCGTGAAATGGTCGTTCGACCCCAAATGGGGTCCTGACCCACAGGTTGAGAACCACTGACGTAAATTCCTCCTTGCTCTTGTATTCTGCAGGATGGTAGAGAAACAGCAGGAAGAGCACGTGAAGGAGGAAACCACGAGACGGTGGCTCCAGGAACAGCTGGAGAAATCACAGCCACGACACTCCACCAATGGGAAGCAGCCCATGGCTGAACAAACCCCCATCTTGTTCCATACGGTCAGTACACAAAGAAGTTCCAAAGAGATTCTTCTTATTTTTTTTTCCTCCAGGGATCTTGGGCTGGGTGCAGGTGAGCTCCCTTCAGTTTCCCGGTTTCATCTGCACTGCATTTATTTCAAGCCAGGCCTTCTGCCTGGGCGGCAGGTGACTTAAAAGCACACAGGCAGAAGCTCCTCAAAACGTTGAAATAGCGAGCAAAGTTAGTGGAATTCTGGGTTTTCCATGCAGATGTTGATTTTAGAATCACGCGGAGTAAGAGAGTTGGAAGGGACCTTGAAGGTCTTCTAGTCCAGCCCCCTGCTCGAGCATTTCAGACAAATGGTTGTCCAATCTCTTCTTAAAAACCTCCAGTGTTGGAGCACCCACAACTTTTGAAGGCAAGCCCTTCCACTGGTTAATTGTTCCCACCGTTAGGTACTTTCTCTTTAGTTCTAAGTTGCTTCTCTCCTTGATTAGTTTCCATCCGTTGTTTCTGGCCTTGCTTTCTTTTCATTGTAGTTAGGAAACACTGACAATTTTTTTTTTTTAAAAAAAACCCTCTATCTAAATAACCAATTTAAGAGCATCATTGCCGAAAACATAGTAAGGAAGTAGCTAGGAAACATTACTATGAGCATTAGTTCCTCCCATGCAATGTAACATATTGGACAGCAAGAGGTCTCCAACCTTCTGGGTTTGGTTAAACCAGTGGTTCTCAACCTGTGGGTCGGAACCCCATTTGGGGTCGAACGACCATTTCACGGGGGTCGCCAAACAACACAGTCCGCCATTTTTTCCCCCTTTTCCTTAGCTGTGCTACTCCCTTTTATTCTATTGGCTTTTGAAAGCCAATAGAATAGACTCTCTTGAATAGAGTCTAATTCTATTGGCTTTCAAAAGCCAATAGGAATTGTCCAGGCTGTCTCTGCCCTGCTGAGCCCGCCAAAAGCCCCATTCTGCAAATGGTGCTGCACCAGTTGAGTAGTCCTCGACTTACGACCGGTTCAGTAGTCCTTGACTTACGACTGGTTGGGGGTCACGGCATTAAAAAGGTTGAGAACCACTGGGTTAAACACTTCAGCGTCTTCCCATGCGATGTTTAGAGTCTTTAAGTCTTCCATGTACGTTTTTTGCCCTGAGTTTCGTCCTCTTGGTCATTTTAGCATGGAGCCAGCAGATGGCTCCAGAATCCTGTTAACAAGGGAATATTGCAGGCCTTATGAATAGAATCCTTGAGCTGGAAGGGATCTCAGAGGTCTTCTAGTCCAACCCCCTGCTCTGGGCAAGAGACCTTATTCCATCCTGGACAAATAACTGTCCACTCTTTTTTTTTTTTTTTTGAAGACCTCCAGTGATGAGCACCCACAACTTCAGAGGAAAGCCATAAACAATCCATAATAACACTGCAGTCCAACATAAGCACTGGACAGGGATGCTGCCACCCGAAGCCCCATTACTTGGGGTGGGAGGGGGTCACTTCCATTAAAGTCGACTAGATGGCCGGAGATAGTCCTGAATGCAAATCTCTATAGAGGAGAATATTTGTAGCTCAGGGTTGAAATGAGGAGTCCTGGGTGCTCTCTGATCTTGGTTGTTTTCTTGCAGACGTTTCATTATCCAATTAGGTAACATCATCAGTACTAGAAGGGAGTGGGCTTTGTGGAGTGGGGGGGGAGGAGGAGGAGGAGGAGGAGGAGGACTCTGAGCTTGGTTGCTTAGTTGTTTTCTTGCAGATGTTTCATTACCAAACTAGGTAACATCATCAATGCTAGAAGGGAGTGGATTTGTGACATGGATGGATGGATGGATGCATGGATGGATGGAAGGAAGGAAGGAAGGAAGGAAGGAAGGAAGGAAGGAAGGAAGGAAGGAAGGAAGGAAGGAAGGAAGGAAGGAAGACTGTGGGGTCCTTGGTGCTCTCTGAGCTTGGTTGCTTTCTTGCAGATGTTTCATTACCAAACTAGGTAACATCATCAGTGCTAGAAGGGAGTGGATTTGTGACGTGGAAGAGAAGGAAGGAAGGAGGAGGAGGATGACTGAGGGACCCTTGGTGCTCTCTCAGCTTGATTGCTTTCTTTGCAGACGTTTCATTACCCAATTAGGTAACATTATCAGTGGTGATCGTATTGCCTCGTTTGGGTAATGAAACGTTTGCAGAGAGCACCAAGGACCCTTCAAATATCCCTCTGCAGCACAAGCTAGCAAAGATAACAGATCCTTCATTTCTCCCCTCCGCTCCTGGCCAGGAAAATTTTTTTAATTAGATGACTTTTGCTCCATCAGGATGTTAGGAAGGAGAGAGATCACAGAGCAGCAGGTCAGGCACAGTAGGCATCGCAGCCCTTTCGTGGCTGATGAGATGTTGCTGGATCGCACTTATAATCGGGAAGGGAGCCCCTGCAGCTGAGCCCAGCGCCAGCCTCTTCCAGTCCCTTTTCTCTAATTATAAAAACGTTAATGGTCTTGTAGAAATATGAAATAAATTAGTCTCCTGTAAACCTCGAGTTCTTTTGGGGTTTGGGCGAAATGCTTGACTAGACTTATTAAATGTACCCTTGAAAGCCAGTTTAGGTGGGAATTCCACGTAGCATGAATATACTGTCTACCACCTTGCCCATACAGCTCTTCTGCTTGTCCAGCAGCAGGACAGGCCCCGGTCAGTTTCTCCATTTATATTTTTTATAATAATAATAATAATAATAATAATAAAGACAAGCACCTGCAAGATAACACCCCAGACTTAACAACTGTCGATAAGAAAGACAAAAAAGTCTGGGTAATGGACGTGGCAGTGCCTGCAGAATAGAAGAGAAAGAGCTGGAGAAGATAACAAAATACAAAGACCTACAAATAGAAATAGAAAGACTGTGGCAAAAGCAAGCAAGGGTAGTACCAATAGTAATAGGCTCCTTGGGTGCAATCCCAAAACAACTGGAGCACCACTTGAACACCATTGGCATTGACAAATTCGCTATTAGTCAATTGCAAAAGGCGGCCTTACTAGGAACTGCTTCCATCCTGCGACGATACCTGTAATACCATCAAACATCCACATCTGCTTATCCCAGGTCCTGGGTAAGGACTCGATAGGTAGACAAAATGCCAAATCCAGTCTGAACATCTGGCTGACTGTGCGATGATCCATAACAATAACAACAACAACAACAATAATAAAGTTGGAAGGGACCTTGGAGGTCATCTAGTCCAACCCCCTGCTCAGAACTACAAGGATCTATTGCCCCAAATTTAGGCGTTATATTTATCTCCAGGCATGTTCTGTGTGGCTGTTCATAGCTTAAGCTTAAGGAAGCAGAGACAAGGTTTCTGTGACCGACTGCTGGAGAAGACCCAGGAAATAAATTCTGAGCCAAGAATAGCATTTTTCGACCTCGGTACCATTACGCCCACCGAACATAGTTCTGCTGGTTCACCTACTTCCACATCTTTTGTTCTGCAGTCTTCTTCCCTTAGCATAATTTATTCTGCTTTTCTTACTTAGTCCCGAGAGGCAGCAGTGCTTAGCTGACCTTAGCTAATACGGAAAGAAGCTACGGATTAGACTGGATTAATATTTATGGGAGACCATCAGAAAAATTCCAGACGGTAAACCCGGCTGGGAGGAAATTTTCCTATTGTTATTAAGAAAATTAAATGGATACGTATGTATGCAGTCACCTGGAGTAGAACTTCACTCAGGGGAGATTTTATTTTTTATTACCCTTTGACTCTTGCAGTTTAACCATTTTTCAGCTGTAGCATCACAATCGTAAGAAATATATAGAAATATACATGTATTGCTAGGAATCTAAATCCTTACAGTTCCCTGGCATCCTACCACCCATACAACTGCTGAAATGTAAAAAAAAAAAAAAAAGAGGAAAAAAGCAGCAGGAAAGAAGGAAGGAAGGAAGGAAGGAAGGAAAGAAAAAAGAAAAGAAAGAAAGAGAAAGAAAGAAAGAAAGAAAGAAAGAAAGAAAGAAAGAAAGAAAGAAAGAAAGAAAGAAAGAAAGAAAGAAAGAAATCAAACCAGGGGCTTATTGAACAGGTGCATATTTGTGCCCTGACTTTTTAAAGGTATTTCAATTACGTGGGGCATTCTGAGTATTGTGCAGTTCAAAACTACTGCAGTACAGTCAAGCGCCAGAAGCGTTGGTACCATCCTGACAGATTCCTATTTTGCAGATGAGTGACTTCAGGATGCTTAATACACAAGAAACTGCTAATTTTATGAAATACAAAATTTAGTACTAAAGTAGGTTATTGGAGAGTATTAAAATCCATTGCTGTTAGCATTAGTCACTTCTACAGACAGATGTTTTCTCTAATAAAGTAAGCCCAGGCCATTGAAAATAGATTTATGAGGATCCTTTACCAACACCACCACCACCACCACCACCAACTACTCCTCCTCCTCCTCCTCCTCCTCCTCCTCCTTCCTCCTCTTTTTCCTCCAACTCTTCCTCTCCCTTCCCTCTCCCCTCCCTTCTCTTCCTTCTCCTCCTCTTCTCTTCTTCCTCCAACTCTTACTCTCTCTCCCCTCCCCTCCTCTTCCTCCTCCTTCTCCTCCTCCAACTCTTCCTTTCACTTCCCTCTCCCCTCCTCTTTTCTTCCTCCTCCTCCTCCTCCTCCTCTTCCTCTTCTCTTCTTCCATCTCCTTCTCTCTCTCCCTCTCCCGCTCCTCTTCTCTTCCTCCCCCCATCTTCCTCTTCTTCCTCTTCCTTTTCCTTCTCCACCTCCAACTCTTCCTCTCCCTCTTTCTCCCGCTCACCCCTTCCTCCTCCTCTTCTTCTTTTTCGTTTCCCCCCCCCCCCCCGTCACAATGGGATTTATTTTACCACCTAACGGGGCAACTTCAGATCTGCTAACAGATGGCCTTGTCGTCATTTTAGCCTTTCCTGAAGAATGGAAAGAAACAGCTAGTTGACATTTCTCAAATGTCTTTCTTCGGGTAGTAAAACGCAATCCCGTCTCTTTGGAGAGAAGGATGCAATCGTACCGTTTAAGGGCATATGGCGAGCGACAGAAGTTGTGGGTACGTTTCCACCCCATTTGAGTGCATAAGATTAAAAAAAAAAAAGTGGATTATCGACACAAAAGGCAAAGGCGTGGCCTTGCTGTTCAGCTAAAAAACGCTGCTCGAATTATAGGATAGAATGATAGGATAGAAGAAGGAGCCGGCCTCCCGCCTGAATCCTGGCTACCTGCTGGATATCCCAGGAAGAGGGAAGTAAGATAAATGGTGCAACCGTCTGCCAGCCGAGAAGACCCAAGTCCCAGGGCCCCAAAACAAGCAAGATTAGAAGTAAATAATATTCTACTCTACTCTACCCTACCCTACCCTACCCTACCCTACCCTACCGTCTTGAGGTCTGGTGATGAGGTTGCTGTCCATAGTCCTGAAATCAAATGGTTCCATTCATTTACTATAACAATGTTTCTCAATCTGGACAACCTGAAGATGTTTGGACTTCAACTTCCAGAATTCTGAGAGGTAAAGCCCACATATCTTCAGGGTGAAAAACACTGGTCTAAATGCTTTGGTTTTCCGTGCTTTGTTTTGTTTTGAATTTATTTGCTGGCAAATTATGACACATGGAGTAGGAATAATGCCATTCAAAGTTCACAAGATGCTCCTCTTTCTGGGTCCATAGGAGGCCTCATACCTTGCGCCCGTCAGCATATTACCGATCTGCCAAAGTATTGAAGGCCACCTGCTGCTCCTGACCATTGGTCTCTCCAGCTGTGGACAAGTCATGTTTTGCAGACAACCGAGCCCCGTCTCTTCAGGAGCCCCTTCGACTGCTATAGCCAACATCTACCCCGCAGTCGTGACCTGGCTGTTGTCTCTGGTGAGTGCAGCAGCTTCAAGGGCAAAGATGCATACAGGTAGTCCCCTTGACTTACACAGTTCATTTAGTGGCCATTCAAAATTACAGTGTCCTTGAACAAAGCGACTTATGGCCCTTTTTCACACTTAACGACCGCTGCAGCATCTCCCACCAGTCACGTGATCAAAATTCGGAGGCTTGGCAGCCAACTCGTATTTATGACGGTCGCAGCGTCCCCCAGGGTCACGTGATCCCCCTTTGTGACCTTCCAACAGGCCACGTCAGTGGGGGAAGCCAGATTCTGTGACTAACGGAAATTTTGGGGTGAATTGTGGTCATAAGTCGAGGAGTACCTGTACGAGGAGTTCGTCTTATACCTGTCTTATAACTAAGCTGGTTTTGCTCAGTCCAGGAAGCAGAAACTAGAGGCTAAAGAAACTGGGGACTGGAGGCTAAAGCATATAAGGAAAGGCTGCTGGAATTGGGTAGGTCTAGTTTATCGAAGAGAAGGACGAGGGCGGACAGGATAGCAGTCTTCCAATATCTCAGGGGCTGCCCCAAAGAAGAGGGAGTCAAGCTATTCTCCAAAGCGCTTGAAGGCAGGACAAGAAGCAATGGATGGAAACTGATCAAGGAGAGAAGCAACCTAGAACTAAGGAGAAACTTCCTGACAGTTAGAACAATTAACCAGTGGAACAACTTGCCTCCAGAAGTTGTGGGTGCTCCAATACTGGAAATTTTTAAGAACAGATTGGAAAACCATTTGTGTGAAATGGTACAGGGTTTCCTGCCAAAGCAGGGGGTTGGACTAGAAGACCTCCAGGGTCCCTTCCAACTCTGTTATTCTATTCTATTCTATTCTATTCTATTCTATTCTATTCTATTCTATTCTATTCTATTCTATTCCATTCATTCCATTCATTCCTATTTCTATTCTATTCTATTCTATTCTATTCTATTCTATTCCATTCCATTCTATTTCCTTTCTATTCTATTCTATTCTATTCTATTCTATTCTATTCTATTCTATTCTATTCTATTCTATTCTATTCTATTCTATTCTATTCCATTCCATTCTATTTCCTTTCTATTCTATACTATTCTATTCTATTCTATTCTATTCTATTCCAATCCCAGTGGGATGAGACAGTTTTCCAAATTTTTTTCTCAAAAACATGGATGGACTAGCTCAGGAGTAAGCCTTAGAAATTAAGGAAAATTGACATTTACTGTTGGTTTGAGATAAGGAAATCCAGCTTCTCGGATGTATTCCATATAACTCTTTCCCAACTTCTGATCTCACAAGAGGAAAAGAAAAAACTTCAAAGGAAAAGTTGGTCCTTCTTATCCCTTCCTGTAAAAGAACCTCTGCTGCCAATATTCAATCCGATTTCCGAAAACAAAATAAGCTTCTTATTCCTGCCTTTTAAAATTCTAAGCATCGGGTGCAAAGCCCTTGGAACAATGGGCTAGAGCTGAGAATTCTTTTTTAGATGTTCATTTTTTAAAAAATCAATTAAGGCGTTAAAAGATTTAAACATTTAAAAATGGCACGGCCAGACCAAAGTTAAGTACTTGCGGTGCTCTGTGAAGTTCAAAAGCAAAGTAGAGCTTCTGTAGAGCTCTGAGGGTTTGGGGTGAAAATCCCAATGAAATCTCTGGGGTTGTCATTTTGAGGAAGAAACCCTAAAGCCAATAGATGAGAATATCTGTAATTCAAGGCTTGCTTGCTTGCTTGCTTGCTTGCTTCCTTCCTTCCTTCCTTCCTTCCTTCCTTCCTTCCTTCCTTCCTTCCTTCCTTCCTTCCTCCCTTCCTTCCTTCCTTCCTTCCTTCTATGTCTCTTTCCCTCCTTCCCTCCCTCCCTCCCTCCCTTCCTTTCCTCCCTCCATCTCTCCCTCCTTCCTTCCCTCCCTCCCTCCCTCCCTCCCCACCTCCCTTCTCTCCTTCCTTCCTTCCTCCCTTCCTCCCTCCTTCTTTCCTTTCCTCCCTCCCTCCCTTCCTCCCTCCCCACCTCCCTTCTTTCCTTTCTTCCTTCCTTCCCCACTCCCTTCTTCCTTCCTTCCCTCCTTCCCTCCCACCTCCTTCTTCCTTTCCCTCCCTCCCTTCTTTCCTTCTCTCTCTCTCTCCTTCCTTCCTTCCTTCCTTCCCCACCTCTCTTCTCTCCTTCCCTTCCCCTTGCAAGCAATGGATGCCACTTTAAATAAAGCATTACCCTCTTTTGTGGCTGCTTCTAAAGTCATGCTGGAATAAATCCGGTTCCTGGTTTTCAATTCATGTTAGAGAAAGGAAAAAAAAAAAACTAAAGAGAAGAAGCCGAGGCGATGGTAATTCAGTGTGATGGAAAGGGGTTTGTTGGGGGGGGGGGAGGGAAACGCTGTCAGCTTTGTACACTTATCTAAAATATATATTTCAAGAGAGGTGGCTGTCCAAGGGCACACTTGATTCAGGCCCCTTTTGCGTGGCTTATCAAGGGTTAATCGTTGAAGTGCCAACATAAAAGCTATTCTGGCAGAAACATCCATCCTCTGGTAATAAACAGGCTCCATCTTCATTATGTTGCTCTTTGGAACTGTAAGGTGTAATGGAAAGACAACAGAGCAGACATAAAGAAAGGAAGCCGTCCTTGTTTAGGAGGAAATGATTGCTGCGGTTTTAAATACTCATCTTGTGTGGGTTTCTTCACTTTCCTAACCCTCCAGGGAGAGAGAGGGAGGGAGGGAAGGGTTCTCTGGATCCAGGTGGGGGGTCTCCTTCCTATCCTCCCCCTTGGCTTCTAAATCTGCAAATAAACAGATCGAAGGAAAAAAACGAATATCTGTTTGCACGCCTGCGAGCAAACAAGAATTAGCCCCGAATCTCCAGTATTTTTCTCTGCCCAAAGAAGAACAGTCAAAAGCAATTACAGGATCTTTCTTCCCGAGCCTGCGGAGGGAGCATCCAATAATGTTTGGAGACCTCCTCTGGCTTTTCTTCACGGCCCAGGGTTCAAGGTGAATTAAGCTAGCCGCCTTCAGACCTTTCGCAGGACTCTACCAGATGGAGCCGCCTCACGCCATCCATCAAAAACCTTTGTGCAAACATCCCAGCTTTCGCCGGTTAATGAGATTTGTTTGCTGCTGCTGGTTGGAAGGAAAGAGGTAGAATTAGGGGGGGGGGGCGGGAAACCCAGGAGGGTTGCAAATGGAAAAAAAAAAACACTGTAAACAAGGCCTGGTGATTGTATAATAATAGCTTTGTGTGGAACCCCCTCAGTTTGGCTGGCTTCAGCACCAGCTGACTGCGGGAATAGGAAGCACGTGGTGAGACTCCCGAGTCGAACAGCAGAAGAGCTGCACATTATTTCCTAAAGATGTTCCTTTTTAGCTGATAAATGTGTGGTGGAAAAATAAATGGATATGAATTTGGGGCATCGTAGTTCATCTCATTTAGGAAGGATACATCCTCAGGATGCTGTAAGCTGCCTCGAATGCCTTGCTATGTGGAGCAGCAGATGACGGATCCATGGGTTATCAACAGAAGATGACACCAACCCAGATTCTGCCCAGTCTATCTATACCTCTGATTGTTGTTGTTGTTAGTTGCTTAGAGGTCATTCTAGTCCAACCTCCTGCACAGGCAGGAAACCCTAAACCATTTCAGACAAATGGCTGTCCAATCTCTTCTTAAAAACCTCCAGTGATGGAGCACCCACAACGTCTGGAGGCAAGCTCTTCCACTGATGTAATTGTTCTCACTGTCAGTTTATTTCTCCTTAGTTCTAGGCTGGATCTCTCCTTGATTACTTTCCATCTGTTATTTGATGTCCTGTCTTCAGGTGTTTTGGAGGATAGGTTGACCCCCTATTCTCTTTGGAAGCCCCTTTCCAATAACAAGTTGCACAAATTATATTCCTTCAGCCGATGTTGCGTCCCATAGAAGAACATTAGGAGAATTGGAGGCAGACAATAAGCCACGTGTCAATTTCAGTTTCAAGGGATGGTGATTTCAAACATTATATTTGGGTTGATGTTAGCCCATCATTTTCCAGCCACCCCTTTGTAATCCATTCCAAGGAATTCAGCCAAGCTGGTCCAAGGACATTTTTTTGCTGGAAAAGCCAGACCAGAACGATAGGTAGTCCTTCACCTTCAGCCATTGTTTTAGTGACTCTTCGAAGTTACAGTGGTCTTGATGACCGTTTTTCACACTTACAACTGTTGCAGCATCCCCAAGGTTACGTGATCAAAATTTGGACACTTGGCAACCGGCATATATTTTGCAATGTCACTTTGGGGATCTTCTGATCAAGCGAAGTCAATGGGGAAGCCAAAATTCACTTAATAACCGTGTTACTAAATTAACACCTACAGTGATTCCCTTAGCAACTGTGATGAGAAAGGTTGTAAAATTGGGCAAAACTCACTTAAACAACTGTCTTGCTTCACAATAGAATCACTTGCGGTTGTAAGTCAAGGATTACCTGTACACAGGTTGTTTTCCAAGGTCATTATCCAGCCAGAACCTGAGCAAATTTCTGACGATGCAGTTCCAGGCTCCAAAATTGCTGACCTGGAACTGGAGCATGCCTGAAAGATTTATCAGAACCCCAAGGAAAGCTTCCGTAGAGAATTTAATCAGCTGCTAATTTAAGGCTTTCCTTATGTGTGACTTTTAAATATGGCCCTTCCTGCTATAAATACCTTTGATTTATTAGCTGTTGGGAATGACCCAAGCAGAGCTCATGAAGCTTATCCAGGTGACTGCTTAACGTTCGTGCCTCCAGTTTGCTTATCGACTAAATTATTCAACCCAGCAGTTCAAATCTAGAAAAAGAAGAGACTTTATTATTATTATTATTATTATTATTATTATTATTATTATTATTATTATTATTATTATTATTATTGATCATCGCACAGTCAGCCAGATGTTCAGACTGGATTTGGCATTTTGTCTACCTATCGAGTCCTTACCCAGGACCTGGGATAGGCAGATGTGGATGTTTGATGGTATTACAGATATCGTCGCAGGATGGAAGCAGTTCCTAATAAGGCTGCCTTTTGCAATTGACTAATAGCGAATTTGTCAATGCCAATGGTGTTCAAGTGGTGCTCCAGTTGTTTTGGGATTGCACCCAAGGAGCCTATTACTATTGGTACTACCCTTGCTTGCTTTTGCCACAGTCTTTCTATTTCTATTTGTAGGTCTTTGTATTTTGTTATCTTCTCCAGTTCTTTCTCTTCTATTCTGCTATCTCCAGGCACTGCCACGTCCACTATCCAGACTTTTTTGTCTTTCTTATCGACAATTGTTAAGTCTGGGGTGTTATGTTGCAGGTGCTTGTCTGTTTGAATTCTGAAGTCCCAGAGCAGTTTAATTTTATCATTTTCTATGACTTTCTCTATTTTATGATCCCACCAGTTTTTGCTTACAGGCAAATGATATTTTTTGCAGATCTTCCAGTGCACCATTGTTGCTACTTTGTCATGCCGCTGCTTGTAGTCAGTCTGTGCAATCTTCTTGACTACAAGCAGCAGCATGACAAAGTAGCAACAATGGTGCATTGGAAGATCTGCAAAAAATATATTATTATTATTATTATTATTTTAAAAATCCCTCTACCATTGTCCTTTAAAAGATCGGGGTGACAGAACATAGAAAGTGATCCATGGTAAAGCCAGGTGGGAGAGGAACTGAATCTCAAATGTATTGAATTTAGTTTACATTTCAAATCAATCCCAAATACATGAAACCCGTAAAATGCATTAATAGAACAACTGCCTGTTTATTTCAAAGTCTCTATTTATTTCCTGACAATTTGCTAGCAACCTATAGAGGGGGATTAAGAGGCATGTCCATCTCTTTGGTATTTTCCGTTGCGCCGTCTTATGGGGTCTGCTTGAAAGATTCTTTTTCACGCTAAAGAGAGTTCTATAAAAATAAAATAAAATGTTATTTCACAGCCATCCCCATTCCCCAAATCAGCAAATTTCCCAGGAGCAGGTCTTTTGTGTGTTCATTTGGTGGGCTCAACTTCTATATCAGTGATTGCATGACCTCTGCAGATACCCTACACTAAACGAAATAAATAAATGTGGTGGGCTAGTAAGATTTCTTCAAAAGTCCACTTTGTTGTTAGTTGAGAAGTCGTCTCCAACCCATCGCAACCCCATGGACAACGTTCCTCCAGGTCTTCCTGTCCTCTACCATCTTCTGGAGTCCATTGAAGCTCACGCCTGCAGCTTCAGTGACTCCATCCAGCCACCTCCTTCTGTGTCGTCCCCTTCTTCTCTTGCCCTCCATCTTTCCCAGCATCAGGCTCTTCTCCAGTGAGTCCTTCCTTCTCACTAGGTGGCCAAAATACTTGAGTTTCAACTTCAGGATCTGGCCTTCTAAAGAGCAGTCAGGGTGGATCTCCTCTAGGACTTACCAGTTTCACCGCCTTGCAGTCCAGGGGATTCGCAGGAGTCTTCTCCAGCACCGTAGTTCGAAGGCCTCAATTCTTTGGCGCTCAGCCTTTCTTATGGTCCAACTTTCACAACCACTTAAACACCTTCTTTTTAAAGCCACCCAGCTACTTAACGAGCCGTTTCACTTTCTCCTCCCCTCTTCCCCACCAATCTTTTGTGTCTCCTTCCTCCAAATAGAAACAGAACAGGACTGATAAATTCAAAACTATTAGCGCACATTACCGGGATAATGTGAAGAGTTGCTGGGAGGCGGGGAGGGGGTGAGGGGGGAAGCATGTGCCATCTTGTAATGGCATAATCACTTTGCATTGATTTTTAGCTGAGGTTATTAGCTCCATTATCATCAATAAAGTCTACTGTTCTACTGCAGCCGGAGAATATGGACGTCAATAAGGACTCTCTGTTCTTAGCTCCTGCTGCAAAATTAGCAGGACCGGCCTCTTTCTCTTGAATAACTTTCTGAATGCCAAAGGTGAAAAAAAAATAAAAGACAGGAAGATAAAAAGATAACTGAAAAGAAGGACCAGGCTTACATGAAGCAGTGTTCCAATATTTGAAGGGCTGCCACAAAAAAGAGGAGTCAACCTATTCTCCAAAGCTCCTGAAGGCAGGTCAAAGAAACAATGGATGGAAATTTATCAAGGAGAGAAGCAACCCGGAACTAAGGAGAAAATTCCTAACAGTGAGAACAATTAACCAGTGGAACAACCTGCCTCCAGAAGTTGTGGGTACTGCCAGGGGGAAAAAAAAGGGTGTGGGGTTGTTTTTTTTTTTGTCTGATACTAGATGGATTAATTGGGAACTGGTTTGTTAAGGTATATTGGCTTAAGACAGGGGTCTTCCAACTGGGCCCTTTTATGACTTGTGGACTTCAACTCCCAGAATTCCTCAGCGCTGAGGAATTCTGGGAGTTGAAGTCCACAAGTCATAAAAGGGCCACGTTTGAAGACCCCTGGCGTAAGAGTTAGCCGTGTCCTATATTTATGGAGCAAAACCCTCCAGGACCACATTTCAGTTGGGTTGAAGTCAAGTTACTAGCCATCGATTTACGTTGTTATTTCAAGGTCTCCTGTCCGAGAGAAGGAGAAGACCACCGAGTTCCCTTCGAAGTCGTAGGGCTGCAACAGACGTGGGAGGAGGGTGCTCTGGCCCTGCGTGTTTGCATCGTGCCAGCCAATCCGTCGCCGACGCAGAGCAGCTCCAGCCTTGCAAAGCAGAGTGTAAGTTATGGCACTGCAATGTCCTTTGATTCCGCTCTTGATTAAGTTGGGGGTAGGGAAGCATGATGCTGAAGAAGGAGCCGGATTACAACTCCCAGCAATCTTAGGAATTCCAGCCAATGTGGAAGAATGCTGGGAATTGCAGTTCAGCAACATCTGGAGTATCGCAGTGTCAGAAGTAAGTCTTCATCCTGGTTCATCCAAGCCGGGAATAAATAGGCAACAGGGAGACTGCTTTGGGAAGAAGGTTACAATTTATTGAAGAAGCAGAAAGATGGTCCTTGCAAGAAGGAGCAGAGGAGAGGAAAAAAAGCTGTTGAGCACATGGGCAGTAGTTTTTTTTATACCCTCTCTAGCCTTGTTTGGAATAGTTTCCTGTTCCTGTGGCATGAATCTTGAGGCTGTTTCTGAGTGTTTGTCTAGGCCTTGATATGTGTAGTTTAATCCTATTATCATATCCTGCTTCCCAGGTGATGGGGCTAATGACTCCTAGAGTTTGGGTGGGGTGTGCAGATTTTCTCTTTGTCTTCTTGATTGCTCTGGCTTCAATTCTCTGATGGTTTTACATCTGCATTTGTATGGGGCTAGCTCTTGCTTGGGGCAGAGAGATAGATTTGGGGCCAGGTTTGGTTTTAAAAAAAAGTCCTTTTGAGGAAAAATATATTTTTCTGCTCTTTTAATATTTCCTTCTCTGGGCTAACTTCCCTCAGCAGCCTATACGCTGCAGGTAAGAACGACCTTGGGAGACAGGACGGAGGCAAGTGAAAGGTATCTCAGCACGGGAAGTATTTCGGAAGGGACCCTCCCTAGTTTTCCAGAGAGTAAAAGGAGGGGAGAAATATTTTCAGCCTTGCGAGATTCTGTTAAAGATAGAGCCCGGTTATACTTCTTTTTGGGACTACCTCACAGGGCTAACTATGCAGTTAGTTCATATCACACAACTCTTGACTTGGATTTGCTAGGAAGCCGTCAGGTTAGCCCTTGTGTGTTTGGAGATTCTTTTATTGTTGTTCAGTTACTAAGCCGTGTCCATGAGCAGCGTGGGGGCCTAATAGGGAAGACTTCCGCCTCCCACTCGGAAGGTTGAGAGTTCAGTCCTAGTTAGCAGCTGGATTTCTTTCCTAGGGCGCAAACAAAAACAATGTCTGCTGCGAACTCCACGTGGCGTCAGGAAGGGCATCCAGCCAGTAAATGCTCAGCTCCCTCCAGTCATCCCAACTATACCCTGAATTAAGGGATTAGAGCAGTGATGGCAAACCTTTTAGAGACCGAGTGCCCATAAACTGTCCCTGCCCCCACTCCACCCCCCTGCCCCACCCCTGCTCTGCCTCCCATCCCCCGCCCCACCTGCCCACAGGACCACTCACTGCCTCCAGGGCCCGCTGCAGATTGCCCAGACAGCCCAGCAGTGCTATGGCGGCCACACCCTCTGCCCTCACCCCGCAGCATCAACTGTGCAGGATGGGGCGTGAGGGCAGAGTCTTGTCTACACTGCCTGGCTGCCATGTCTTTGGCTGCACTGCTCCGGGTGGGCCACGCTCGGGGGCAACTCTCCTTCAGGGGGGCTGCTGGAGAGGAGGGGGTCATGGGGGGAGGCAAGGCTGGGGCAACAGCACGTGTGCCCACAGAGAGGGCTCCGAGTGCCGCCTCTGGCACCCGTGCTGGAGGTTCACCACCACCAGAGTCGTAAAAAGGCAGTTTTTAAGTGGCCCCTGACATAGAGCAGGAATAACGCTAGGAAGAAGAAGCTACTAAGTCGTGTCCAATTCTTTGCAAACCCATGGAGCAGGCCCTCCTGTCTTTTACTGTCTCCCAGAATTTATTCAAACCCATGTTATTGCATCAGTGACACTTATCTAACCTTTTCTGCCTCTTCTTTTGCCCTCCATCTTTCCCAACATCGGGGCCTTTGATGGTCTCTGAGCGTGCTTGTTTTCTTGCAGGCCAAATGTTGATCCCACGACGCGACAATTTTAATGCAAGACAATTGTAATGCAAGAACCGGTCGCAAGCCACTTGTTTCAGAGCTGTTGTAACTCTGAACAGTCACAAAATGGATGATAGTAATTCGAGGACTACCTGTACCCTGGATGTGTTATTTTCAACTTCAGCAAAGTGGAATTTTGAGGTGCCAGCCCGAAACGAATCCAGGCAATATTGATATCTCAAAAGATTGGAATTAACGCTCAACTAAGATTAAAACATGAATTGATTCCCTCTGTTAATCCAAGTTTGCCACTCCTCTTTTACATCTCACCCAAAAAGTAGATTTTTACTTAGAAGACCAACCATTAACCACGGGTTTCTCTCTCTTTTTTTTTCTTCTTCTTCAGGGAACATCACTTTTCTACCAGCAGATCTCCACGTTTCTCACGCAGACATCTCTTTTGGATGTTCTTTGGTGGAAGGCAGAGCTCTG